TTTGGAAAAGATTAATTTTTTTCATTGAGAGCAAACCAGCTATATATAGCGTACAAGATAACTAAGGAAGATAATTAACACAATTATTCTAGCCTAGAATTAAGCCATAATAATAGGAAACTAAGTAAGGCAACATTGACTAAGGAATTAAACAGGAAAACAGACTATATACATAGTTACAAAATAGGAGAGAAATAATACGGGGATTATTCCTTAACATGCCGCCGCAAGACGGGCGGTCGGGAGACTAGGCCTGTCATGGAGCACAAGTCAGTAAAACGTGAAACAGCAAGAGGCTTGGTTAGTGCATCAGCTAGTTGGTCATCACCAGGAATGTGCTGAATTCTTAGACACCCAAGCTGAACTTGCTCCCTAACAAAGTGAAATGCCAATGCGAGATGCTTCATTCGGGAGTGGAATACCGGATTCTTGGAGTAGCTGATTGCGCTTAGATTATCGCAGTATATGCTAGGAATGTTGGGCAGCTGAACTTTGAGCTCAAGGAGTAATGATAGTAGCCACAACATTTCGGCAGTGGTGGAGGCAACAACGCGAAATTCGGCTTCAGTGGAGGAACAAGCAATGTCTTGCTGCTTTTCAGAACTCCATGAAAGGGGGTTCCTTCCTAGGTAGACAATGTACCCCATAGTAGAGACAAAGCTATCCTTGTCACCAGCCCAATCTGCATCGGTGTAGGCATGCAATGCTAAGGGGGAGTTGCGATGAAGAGTAATGCCACGATCAATAGTGCCATTGAGATACCGTAGTAGTCGTCGAAGAGCTGCCCAATGTAAATCAGTAGGCTTGTGCATGAATTGAGATAATCGGTTTACAGCGAAGGCTACATCACTACTAAATTTTTGATCTAATGCAACGTTATAAAATTAGCTAATACAACGGCTAATTTCATACTGTTGTATTAGCTTAGGCTAATACAACGGTTTATACTAAAACAGGTTTAATACAACGGTTTAGACTAACCGTTGTATTAGATGAACCAATCCGTTGTATTAGATGAGCTAATCAACGGATTACTCATCTAACACAACGAAGTGTATTCCAGATACCTAATCCAATGGATTTGGTAAAAATAAATCTGGGTTATAATTAAACTCTCAATCTCTATCTCCAATCTCTCTCGTCTCTTTCACTCTCTCTCTCGTCTCTCTCCTCTTTCTCCTCAATCTCTCAGTTGTCTCTCTCACTCTCCTTACTCTCTCAATCGTCTCTCTCGAGCCTCAATCTCTCACTCGTCTCTCATTCTATAAGGTATTGTTTCGTTTTTCGATTCGTTTTCAGATCTTTTTCTGGGTTTTCAGATCGTTTTTTGGGTTTTTCATATTTTTGTTTCGTTTTTTAGTTTTTTTGTTTTTCATTTTTCAGATCTTTGTTTCATTTTTAGTTTTTCAGATCTTCGTTTTTCGTTTTTATGTTTTTTTTTTGGTTTTTCAGATTTTTCAGATTTTGGTTTTCCAAATTTTGGGTTTTTCATATTTTTGTTTCGTTTTTTTGTTTTTCATTTTTCAGATCTTTGTTTCGTTTTTCATTTTTCAAATCTTTGTTTCGTTTTTTGTTTTTCAGATCTTCGTTTTTCGTTTTTGTGTTTTTTTTGGTTTTTCAGATTTTGGGTTTTCCAGATTTTGGGTTCTTCGGATTTTTGTTTCGTTTTTCAGATTTTTCCCATTTTCAATTTTTCAGATCTTCATTTTCCAAATTTTTCAATTTTCCGTTCTTCGTTTTTCGAATTCAATCAATTCTGCTTCTACTAGTGTCGCCGCAAACGATGATAGTCGATCTTCCCGCTCTAAATCAGACTTTGGATTCGCATTCAACGATAGCAATTTCTCCGATCGTATTTTAAAGCTTGAGAGTGTTCCTGATTTGCCCAATATTAAATTTTTCCTAAATGCTCCTGAAGCTGGACATAATAATGATAATGATAATGATAATGATAATGATAATAATAATAATAATAATAATAATAATAATAATAATAATAATAATAATAATAAGGTCTTGAGATAAGGTGCCGACAATGGCACCAAAAACCAGACGATCTTGGCGAAACCAGGAGAGAGCAGCAGGGTTAACCACCGAGGCACCATCAGTGGTGATCGAGGTGGGTGGTGAGGGGAAGCTGCCATCCATGAATTTCCAAAGATCATAGCCAAGGAGGGTGGCCTGTATTTGAGTTTTCAAGGCTATATAATTAGAGGGAGTGAGTTTGATGCAATTATGAACATGAATGAGAGTGTAAGGTTTGCTGGGATCAGCAAGGTTAGGGATGAAATCGTTCATGGTTACGGAAGAGTGAGATCTAGAATCTGATACCATATAAGAGTTTGGAAAAGATTAATTTTTTTTCATTGAGAGCAAACTATATATAGCGTACAAGATAACTAAGGAAAATAATTAACACAATTATTCTAGCCTAGAATTAAGCCATAATAATAGGAAACTAAGTAAGGCAACATTGACTAAGGAATTAAACAGGAAAACAGACTATATACATAGTTACAAAATAGGAGAGAAATAATACGGGGATTATTCCTTAACAGTTATAATATACATCCTCTTCTTCTTCATGTGGCTTATCTCAGCAGGTGCTTTAATGGAGGACTCCTTTGCTTCAATGGAGGAGAGAAAGAGAGTAAGGAAGTAAAGGAGGAAGGAGAGAGAAAGGGGGGTTTAAAAGAGAGGAAAAGGTTGGAAGGGAAGGAAGACTAAAGAAGAGAAACAAATACGGGAAGCATAAACACACTTAACAATTTAATATGACATAAATGGGTATAAATAAATAAACATTTTTAGGGGTAAAAAATGTCATCACACTACTCATAACTTCATAAGAGTTCTTTTGAACTTTTTATAAGGTAGGGAATGATGGTTATTTAACCATCTAAGCTAATTATCAACTATATTATAAACATGAAAATAAATGTATATAATTGATAATCACAAGATCTAATTAAAGAAAAAAAGACATTATAAATATCAAATACATATAATCACAAGGAATAATTAAAGTAACAACCCGGTGCAACGCTCGGGCTACAAACTAGTTATATCATTCGAAAAGTGATTATAACATTTGACATGTAAGTACATATATCATCCAAAAAATTGATTACGTTATATAGAAGGTGACTAAATTATTTGAAATGTAATTAAATCATTCAAAAAGTAAAAGTATCATTCAAAAATTACTTATATCATTCAAAAAGTAACTATATTATCTAAAAGATAATTATATAATTTGAAAAGTGATTATATCATCTGACTAAATTATTTTAAATATATCTATAGCATTCAAAATGTGACTCACAGCATGATAATTATATAATCCAAAAATAATTATATCATCCATAAAGTGATTGTATTATTTAGAAATGTTAAATTATTGGGTCTATTGTTTACCAGATTTATACAAGAGCTTCTAAAAGAATGTTTATACGGAACATTCCCTATGTCCCTATTTTTTTTGCCCCATTTGACTTTTCACGGTTTCCAAGATTCGCCTTAAAACGTATATAACTTCATTTATAAAATTTGATATTATAAAATATACAATGAGATGAACCTAACAAGACCCACATGACTATATTATCTTTTGTTGATTAATGAAAATATATGGTCACAATTTTTAAAAGTTGACACATTTATTTGCAATAGAGGCCAAAAAAAAAAAAAGAGGATAGAGGGAGTACAAGTACATAGTATGAGACTATGGGGATATTTAGTAATTAGGGTTTTGACCAAAAAAGAGCTTATTTGACCAAGTTAGAGGTTTGACTACATAAATCATCTATTTTGGGTGTTTGGTAAAAGAGTTTTTTAAATAAGCTGATTGGGACAAAGCAGCTAATTTGTAAAAAGCTAAAAAAAATAGAGTTTTTTGAGTTAGCTGATTGAATAATTGAAATCAAATTACTTTTTTGCCATTTTAATTTTTTACCCCTAATCATTCCAAAACTTTCAAGCTAGCATTCCAATCGTTCGTTTTTTTTTTTCGCTTCTCCTTCTTTACTTCCATGGAGCTATTGAAAATGTGTGGAAGTTAGCCCACTAATAAGCATCTTCCAATTTCATTATCCATAGTTTCACTAAGGTAAGCTAATTTCCTGTCCCTGTTCATAATTTACATTCTATGTTTTAATTTTTTAATTTCTTTTTATTTTAGTGTTTTATAATCATGAATTGCATGGAAATGAAACATTACTTGAAATTAATTAATATTTTCATCTTACAAAAATCACTTGGGTACCCACTTTAGTTTTGTTTTCAATTTCTCATTTTATTTCTCCTACTTTCTATGACTGCACAAATATTTCTCTTTTTATTGCTTTCTAAAAAATTAGCGTTTTTTGGTAGATACATATTGTATCATAGTTTGCAATGGTATTATCATTTACAAGTTAAAAAATTGCAACTAAATTATCATTTCATGTGTTCAACTAAAAACAACTACAATTAATAAGCTAAATTTACCAAACAACTCTATATGATAAGCTCTTACAAATCAGTTAGTCACAATCGCTCATGCAACCAACTAGTAAAACCTGCTAATACAAACAACTATTACCAATCAGCTAACCATTAATTACCAAACAAGGCCTATGAGGTCTCCGTATAATAAAAAGCGCGGACAAAAAAATGTTTGAAAACACAGCGAAGATGACATATTACAAGTATTAGTTGGTATGAGTTGTCCAGATGATTACATACTCCGTATTCATCATATGCCGCAACAACAACAACAACAAATTCACTACTCTCCTACACCACGTGCGCTTCTCTATCCTTCTTTCTACCTCTTTCTTTACTCTAAAAATACCGTAACAATAGAAATTCGAACCATCCCAAAATTCTTGGAAATTAAAACCCCTTCATTTTACATACAACCCCCAAAACGACGTCGTCCCCTAATTAATCTAATCCAATCCAATCCAATTAATTAATTAAAAATAAATTACAAGACCTCAAAATCCTAAAACCCTAATCATTTAAATACCCACCGCTTTCTCTCTCTCTCCGCAACCTTCGTGCTCTTCTTCTGCCTTTGCGCACTTTTTTCCACCATTAAAATCCCTTTTCATTTTCTCTCTCCTCTAAACCCTTTGAGCTTTTCCAGCTCTAGGGTTTAGATTCATTTTCATTTTCCCCCAATTTTTTTTTTTTGTTTGTTTGAATTTTGATTTTGTTCATTTTTTTTTTTTGATTAATTTTGGTTTTGATTGGATTGAGCTCAGTTGGTGGTACTGTACTATTGCATTTTGATTTTGATTTTTTTTGGGTTGAATTTTCGATTGATTTTTTTGGGGAAGAATTATGGATCTTCCGAGTTTGGCTGTGATTCTTCGTGCTGCTCTTAGTCCTAATCCAGATGAACGCAAAGCTGCTGAAGATAGCCTAAATCAGGTTAATTGACGAGTTTAATTTTCGAATTTTGATCAATTTTTGTAATTATTTTGATCAAATTAGCTGAATTTTATTCGTGAAATCGCGCTGTTGCTGTGATCTGATTGCTGAATTTATTCATTTGTATTGCTTGATTGTGTGTGAATTAGTTTTCTGATGTGATGTTTGCATGTTAGAATGAGTAATTTGATTGAAATTTATTGGGAATATGATATGATGGCAGTTTCAATACACGCCGCAGCATACGGTCAGGCTATTACAGATAATAGTCGATGGGAATTGCGATATGGCTGTGAGACAGGTTGCTAGTATCCATTTCAAGAACTTTATTGCCAAGAATTGGTCGCCTCATGATCCCGGTTTGTTTCCTTTCGTGTCGTGTTTAAGACTTTGACTTTAATTGTCGTAGCTCAGTCATTCGATATTGATATTGTATGCTTGGTTATATTTTTAATTTCAGAGGAGCAATCAAAGATCTCACAGGCTGATAAAGCCTTGGTGAGAGAAAATATCCTTGTGTTTGTGGTTCAAGTTCCACCGCTTTTGAGGTATGGCTACTTGCTGTGCTATTGTTATCTATGTGAGCTATCATTTCCGAAACTCAATTTTGACGGGCGTTTGATGTCTTTTGTGGCTGCCATTTGTAGGGTGCAGTTGGGCGAGTGCCTCAAAACAATTATCCATGCTGATTACCCTGAGCAGTGGCCTGGCCTTCTTCATTGGGTGAAGCATAATTTGCAAGATCAACAGGTCTATGGTGCTCTGTTTGTTTTGCGGATTCTCGCTAGAAAATATGAGTAAGTACATGATTGCTTACCCCCAACATGTACTTGTAATTGTGGCTGATTATGTATTGTAATTGTATGTTGTTTTATTCTTTTGGGTTTTCTTTGATTCTGGTTGCTCCCCATGAAGTAGGTGGAGTTGCTTACCTAATTCTCTATTGGCTAGTACAGTCAAAAGTCTAATTTAGATAATATGCTAGCTTACAGTGTATTCACGTTTCAACGAGCACAATCTTTGATTTTACAAAAAGTTTACATGTTTCTTTCTCAGCAAAGATTAGGCCACAGCTTTGTACTAGACCTAATTTCCATGTCCAAACCCTTTATTTGAACTTGGCTGAGTACAATTTTTAGGTACCCCTAACTTGCATATACCTGATCATACTAAGTGAACTACTGCTGTTAATATCAAACTTAATACTTCCTTCAGTTCCTTAAAATTGCAACTTTTTGATATTTGCACTATTATTCAATAATTGCAATCCATTGTAACTTGTCAGTGTGAATGCCATTTTGGTAATAAACTTTTTAATGTGTATGCACATTATGTGTTTTGGAATGGAAGGAGCAAAAAGAAAGAGAGAAATTATAATGCTCTGTAGCCTGCGTCTCAAATTCTTTATACCTAACTTTTTTTGTTTTCTCAAATTCTCTAGTTCTTGGTAATCAATAGTCTGACGTGTTGTCTATGAATCTGTATTTAACCCTTATATATATGAAGGGATATTGAGCAAATGCTTTCCAGTTTGACCAGAGCATTTTCTTCTTTGTTACATTTATAGTATATATAAGTACATCAATTACACTAAGTGATCCGTATAAATTTTTTGTGTGGGAAAGAAAACAAAAGAATAACCATAAGGAAAGAAACACTTGACATAACTAGCAGTTGCACCACTGGCATTATCATCTATAGTTCTGTTGACCTTAATTTGTTGTTGTTTGCAGATATTGGTTATTCGTTTTTGCGTTTTCAAATATCGAAGGCTTTCTTATCTGGTCTAACTTGTGGATCAATAAGTATTTACCCCCTGCTGATATTTTTTTGCAGGTTCAAGTCAGATGATGAGAGGACACCTGTGCATCTAATTGTTGAGGAGACTTTTCCTCCTTTGCTCAACATATTCAACAAGCTTGTCCAGATTCCCAACCCTTCACTAGATGTGGCAGAACTCATAAAGCTTATATGTAAAATATTTTGGTCATCTATCTATGTATGTTTCTTGCTCTTAGTATAGTGGGCATTCTTTCTTTGACAGTTTTTTACCATGTCTTTAGTATCATCTCCTTGTTATTTTTCGTTGAGGTAGATCTGTAGATGGCATATATACCTGTCCTAAATTACTTAGATTGCAATATCATCAGTCTTCATTTAGAACTCACAGGAGCTCACCTGTTCCCTTCTCAGTTGGAGATTCCCAAACAGCTATTTGATTCCAATTTGTTCAATGCTTGGATGGTTCTTTTCTTGAACATTTTAGAGAGACCTGTTCCTGAAGAAGGCCAGCCTGCTGATCCTGATCAAAGGAAATCCTGGGGTTGGTGGAAGGTTAAAAAATGGACAGTTCACATCTTGAATCGGCTATACACAAGGTTAGTATATATGTTAGCATAATTGTCTTGTACAATTTTGGAATCATTTGGCAACTTTGATGTTCATATAAGGAGAAGGCATTTGAGTTTTGTAACCACTGGTTAATTAATTAATTTGTCTGATTTCTGTGCTATCTGAAATTTGTCAACAGATTTGGAGATATGAGAATCCAGAACCCTGAGAACAAAAATTTTTCCATGATGTTTCAGAAGAGTTATGCAGGGAAGATATTGGAGTGCCATTTGAATTTGTTGAATGTGATCCGTGCTGGTGGCTACTTACCTGATAGAGTTATCAATCTTGTTCTGCAATATCTAAGCAATAGGTTTGTAAAGCCTTTTTGACATATGCCAATTTAATCCCATGGGTTTAATTACATTAATCTATGAAGTGTTTTTCCAAGAAGGTTTCTGATCTTTTGATGTTCCTTTGATGCCAATGTATAGTTTTGCTGTCCATCTCACACCTCTGATTATGTTAGCAAACTGAGCTGAATTAAAATGTAAATACTGTCATTGAACCTAGCTGAGATGTGAACTAGAAGCATAGTATTGTTGGTGAGATGGAGCTCCCAGTTTTCTCTATATGTATTTAATCCATGTTGGGCTGGATGGTGAGTTGTACCCTTTTAGTGCCACATAACTTGTTTCTTATACTGATAAAACAAATAGATCTTCCTTTGCTACATTCACCTATTCAAATTGGACTTATAGGGTGGCACTTGCTTCCAAATTGGAATTTCCAAGGGGAGCAAGGTTGGCTAGCAAAATAAGGTTAAAAAAATCTTTTGAAAAGAATATTGATATGTTTGAGAGTGGGTTACATATCTTAGATGTTAGGTGTAAAAATCGAAATTCGAGGCAGGGCAAGTGTAAGTATATGTAAAATGATGGTCAAAGTCTGAGGCAGGATTGTGCAATTATACTTTGCTGACTAATTTGGCTAGAAAACTGCAGCCTGTTTGTATTGGTCTAACCATAATTTTTTTTCATTGTGGCAGCATCTCAAAGTCCAGTTTGTATCAATTGTTGCAACCACGACTTGATGTTCTCCTTTTTGAAATAATTTTCCCCCTGATGTGTTTTAACGACAACGATCAAAGACTTTGGGATGAAGACCCTCATGAATATGTAAGAAAAGGCTATGGTGAGTATTATGGGCTTTTCTCCATTTCTTTTCAAAAAAGTTTTGTTTGTTTTTGTTATATTGGCTACTGACACTAAATGGTTATGTATCTTTTTATATTGAGTAGATATTATAGAAGATCTATATAGTCCAAGAACTGCAGCAATGGACTTTGTCAGTGAGTTGGTCAGAAAGCGTGGCAAAGAAAACTTGCAAAAGTTCATTCAATATGTTGTTGAGATTTTAAAGAGGTATATATTTCTTCTGTTTATGTTATATTTGGTTCATTATATTTGATTTATGCTGGTGTTATTAACTTTACAGTTGCTATAATGATCACTCTACTTTCAGGTATGATGACTTCCCAGTGGAACACAAGCCATATCGGCAGAAAGATGGTGCCCTTCTTGCTATTGGTGCACTTTGTGATAAGCTGAAACAAACTGCACCATACAAATCTGAGTTGGAGCGAATGTTAGTGCAATACGTTTTTTCCGAGTTCAATAGCCCTGCTGGTCACCTAAGAGCTAAGGTTTGTAGATTTTTTGTATCTTTTTCCTGGTGAGTTGTAGCTAATGTTTTGGGAAGATAGCCATCTGTGTAGGTTGTAGCTAATATTTAGGGGAGATGACCATCCTTAATGTAATTTCTTACATCTGGACCATGCCACCTGGTAGTTTTCTTAAATTATTCATTGTGGCTAATATGGACAAGCTGTAAGTTTAGTAAACTAAGTTTGGAGAGTGGACTATAATTGGAGGACAATCCTAATATAAGTGTGCTCTGCTATGTAGAAAAGCAGGGAGTTACCTTTTTTCTGTATGGTTTCTTTATTATAATGTTTCAACTATATTAGATTTTAATGGTCTCACAAAGTTCTGAATTTGATTCTGTCTCATTGCTGCGTAATATCAGGCAGCTTGGGTTGCTGGCCAATATGCTCACATTGAATTCTCCGACCAGAACAATTTCCGAAAAGCACTTCATAGTGTAGTGGCTGGGCTGCGTGATCCGGAGCTTCCTGTTCGTGTGGATTCAGTCTTTGCACTGCGTTCTTTTGTTGAAGCTTGCAAAGGTTCTTTTTGCCTGGTTGCTGAGATCTGTTATATGTACTCACTCTGTTCTTCATTAATGGCATGTCAAGAGTAAATGTTCTCTTATTTAAATTCCAATTTTGGATGCAGATTTGGGAGAAATACGTCCCATTCTACCACAACTACTGGATGGTACGTAATATTTAGATACCTGGTTCATTTTATATGTGATGTTTTTATTTACAACATCTTCTCATGAGCTTTTGTTCTTTTAGAATTTTTTAAACTTATGAACGAGGTTGAGAATGAAGACCTTGTATTCACTCTGGAGACTATTGTTGACAAGTTTGGGGAAGAGATGGCACCTTATGCTTTTGGACTATGCCAGAATTTGGTAATTAATTTCTAAATGTTTTTTGACACTTCATATTTATTAAATGGTCAGCTTAATGAATACTTACCCCTTGGTTAGGCTGCTGCATTCTGGAAGTGTATGAGTACTGCTGAAAATGACGAGGAGGGTGATGATCCAGGTGGTGCATTGGCGGCTGTTGGTTGTTTACGAGCTATAAGCACAATTCTTGAATCTGTCAGCAGACTTCCTCATCTATTTGGCCAAATTGAGCCTACTCTTCTGCCTATAATGCGGAGGATGTTGACTACTGATGGCCAAGGTCTGGCTTTAGTTTAGCAAGTTTCATTTGTTTCATTCTTGATTCTACATTTATATGATTTTGGGCTTAGGGAGGGAAGGGTGGGTGTTTGCGTTTTAAAATGAGAAATTTAATTCTCCATTTGTGAACTATCACTCGAGGAAATAGATATTAATTTGTTGAACTAGCTCTCTGAATTCATATCTCCATCAACTAGGAGAATGGTTGTCATGGAAAAATAGATATCAACATGTCTGTGGAAACTGTGTGAGCTGTAGAGAGATTATTATTTTGATTTATCATATGGTTATAATTTATGTATATTTATAGTAGAACCTTGAAAATAGTTCAGGTTTGTGAAATACTCTATTGACATGTGTTACATGAAAAGAGCATGCTTGCGTGGATGCTCCGTATCTTATTGGTGAATGCTACAACGGTACAACCTCCCTCCCATAATAGGCTTCCTAAGACTTTTGGGCATAGTAAGACTAAAAACCCGGCCTACTGGGAGTACTTAATTTCCTTATAATGGAGAGACATTGCGTGCCTTAGAAGAAATGAAAGGGAGTAGAACATTATTATTTAAGAATGGAATAATTAGTTGGATCAGATCAAAGTTGAAATATGAGAAAACTATTAATGGATTGAGTGAGTATACTCACCTTTGTTATTAACATCACGATGCTCACCTTTGTTATTAACATCACGATACTCTAATCTTGGCAATTTACTTTACCCCCTTCAAATGAAGAGCACAGCTGCACAGGCAATGTGTATCCTAAAGCATATAGAAGCAACTACCAAGTCCTAGTTACTAAATGTCTAGGGCAATTGTTTTACTAGCTGCTGCAGGAGAAGAATATTTAAGTTAATCTGAAGCCTTAATACTCTATGGTCTATTGATCATATCATGTTTATGTTTTTACATATCCAAGGATGCCAACTTTGTGGAAGATGGAAGAATTCCAATGATGAACAATTCACTGGGGGATGTTTTTTTTTTATTTTTTGCTTGGGTTACTTTAGTTACTGAAAGGACAGAGTTTGTTTTGATGTCTTCAGTTTCTAAGATGTTAACATCTAAAAACCATAGATAAGTTTTCAACACAGGTATTTAATTTTGTGTTAAGCGTCTAAAATTTTATAAAATGAACTGAAAGTTTGAAAGGTCTAATGTGGGGAAAATGTAGGTTCTTGTCTACTAGTTTGCAGATAATATTATGTGTTAGTGTTACTTTGTTCTTTGACCGCCAGCCTTCATTATCTTAAGTTGGTGGTTACTTGATCTTGTAGACATTCGTATCGATCTTGATGGCAGGGATTGACTTCTCTAAATGTATCTTATTGAGGGTAGACATAAGTAGGTTGGCTTGATTTTGGAGACATTCGAATCGATCTTGAAGGCAGGGATTGACTTCTCTAAATGTATCTTATTGAGGGTAGACATACATCAAAAATTTTCTTTGAGAGCTTGCCTCGTTGAGGCTAAAGTGGATCACTTGAGTGCATGGTCTTTGCTGCATAGTATAACCTACTAATTGATCACTAAATAAGTTACTTGTCCAAGTTAATTGTTTTTTGGCTTGCAGTATTTTTAAATATTGGTTAAGCATTGTCAAATTTCTTATCTGTAAATATGGTGGTGGTCTTTGCAGAGGTCTTTGAAGAAGTTTTGGAGATTGTGTCCTATATGACTTTCTTTTCTCCTATGATATCTCTGGATATGTGGAGTCTTTGGCCGCTGATGATGGAGGCACTGTCAGATTGGGCTATTGATTTCTTTCCAAGTAAGCGTTGTGCCCTTCTCTTGCGGCTTTGTAACTTGTTTAGTAAGCTCGATCTCCAAATAGATCGATGGAGGAACTTCCATTGATGTGCATTTGACTCAGCTTACCAACTACATTAAAGTTGGCTAAGACTCTTCCACTGTGGTTGAGTATAGAGTTGCAGACAATGTTTTCAGTTTTGCAGGATATTGAGACTGTAACTTAACTTTTAAATACAATGTTTTCATGGTTTATTGCTCTTCCTTTAATGAGGCTTCTTGGTACTAGGCATGTGTTTCCTATCATTTTTTTATTGGTTTGTCCCTCATCTTGTTGCTTGGAAGCGATTTAGATTTTTAAATCTTGTGAAAGGATGCAATAGTGTATGTGTTTCTTTGGATTAGATGAGATAGGTCAGCAACAATAATTCGCTTGCTAAAATGATGGTTTACTATACTAGATGGTTGTAAATGTTTATTAGGATTAGAGTAGATGGTTCAGCAACCAAGTCATTAGCTTGCTAAAATTAAAGTACTAATGGTTTGATGATGGATTGATCTTGTAAAGTTGTATTTACTCAAAAGCTATGCATTAGAAAACAAGAATAAATTGAAAGTGACTTTTGTGTAAAAGAACAAAATACTGCTTTGTTTTACACTTTGTTTGGATAGGAGGATTTGGAGGGAAGGGAAATAATAATGCCATGAATGTTGCTGCTTTTGTTTCACAAGCCTTGTTCATGGAAAAATCATGTGTAATGCCTTGTCGGATTTTACCTGTCCCTCCTCTCCTGTCTAATCTAAACAATGGAATTATTTTCTTATTCTATCACCCTTTCTACACCCCTTTCCCCTTCTTCCTTTTTGATTTCCTATCCAAACACACTGTTAGTAATTGTTACTTTAGATCCTTGATCAAGTAACTGAAACTCCAACCAAGGATCAATATAAAAAAAATTGGTATGATGAGAAATGTCTAGATGTTAGGAATTTAGATTCTGTTGCTAAGATCTATGAGCATATTGAGATATCGGATCATTCTTTTCAGGCCCTTACATTCCTAGAGAAAATTGTAGCTGCAAATTATTATCTAGTAAATTACTAATGCCCAGGCAGATGTCCGCTTCTTGAAAATCAAACTGTTTTAATCCTGGTTGGTCTTTGGTCAAACTTTGTTGATTGAATTTACTGCCTGTTATCTATTAGGTTGACATTTTGGTGCTGTGAAATAGAACTAACTTATTTCATGTTGCCACTATCTAGGTTTCCTACAAAGTCAAATCTTTTGCTAGACTGCTCCAAACTTTTTGAGAGAAAGTATTAAATAATTGTTCATATATGAGTTAACTTGAGCCTTTGTTGGGTGACGTACTACCTAATATGTAATTATGTAACAGGCATTTTGCATCTAAGGCTTGTTGGTTTAGAAGGAGAAGAGCTAAGACAGATGTTAAAAGTTTGGACCAAGGATGCTAGCTTGTATAGCGCATTGAAATAGGAGAAAATTATCATCTATATGTTTTGATGTTTGGTAGGAGGTTGTCAAATTATGAGTTATAAATTACTCTTCCTCTCCATGACTTAATTTCAGTTATATTTTGTCAATGATTTGACCTTTATTATCTGAGTAAAGGCTTTGTGCGATGAAAAGATATTTAATAAAAATTATTTTCAGCCAATTTTGTGCTTTCCCTAGATCATGTCATTGACCTGTTTTGGTTATATCACCTTCATGAATTTCTCATGTGGTGTAGAAGAGGCGTCTCGTTTATCTCGGGCTTCTATATTTGGCTATTTACTGTTTGATGAATGTTTTATGTATATATTCGTTGTAATTTATGAACTTATTAGTAATTGTATTTGCAATGGATGATTTGATGCAGACATCTTGGTACCTTTGGACAATTATATATCCCGCAGCACTGCTCATTTTCTGACTTGCAAAGATCCAGACTACCAACAAAGTCTATGGAAAATGATATCCTCTGTGAGCTTCTATAACCCAACTACTTGTCATCTTAACCTAGTTGATGAAAGTGTCATTATTGTTCAATATGATGTTTATTTATGAAGTCATCCTTGGCATATTTTATATACACTGTATTTCAGTGTTTGTTGCTGATGTTTGATGGATTTTATGTTTATAGATAATGTCTGATAACAATCTTGAAGATGGTGATATTGAGCCTGCACCAAAGCTCATCGAAGTTGTATTTCAGAACTGCAAGGGTCAAGTTGATCACTGGGTTGAGCCTTACTTGAGGATAACTGTTGAGCGACTGCGTAGAGCTGAGAAACCATATTTCAAATGTCTTTTGATTCAAGTGGTATGAATATTGGTCAAACAATTTGTTTGTGTTATTGTTAGTCTGCTATCTGCATCATCGATTAGTTTCTTGTTTGGCAGTTTAATTAATGGTTTGCATGTATAGCACCTAAAGAATTATTTGTATGATATATTGAAGAGTTTGTAACGAGTTATTTGTATGATATTACTTAATTTTTCTTCTTATATTAGCATGCATGAAAATGCATTGTGCTCTAGTTGTATCTTGTGGATGTGCTTATCATTTTGCTTGATTAGTGGAAACTTGTTAATGTCTAGCTTTGATGCGGCGATTACCTTTATTGTTGAAACTTGAAACTCTTTTGTGAAAGTCTAATTTTATTTAGTGGTAGTATGTAAACTAAATTGTATTACAGTGGTGATTACAATACATGTTTAAACATACACTGATTTGTATCTGATGCATTTCTTCCTGCAGATTGCTAATGCTCTTTATTACAACCCGAGTTTAACATTGAGTATACTCCATAAGCTAGGTGTCTCTGCAGAAATATTTAATCTTTGGTTTCAAATGATACAGCAAGTGAAAAAAAGTGGTTTGCGTACCAACTTTAAAAGGTAGCTCCTTTTTATTTATTATTTATTATACTTCTTAATTGCTTTCCATTCAAATTATTTTGCTCTTGACTTGGGAGAAATTGTTACCTGGATGTTAGTATCCTTATTGAAAATTTAAATGGATTATTTCTCTTTCATTTTACAGGGAGCATGATAAGAAAGTGTGTTGTCTGGGATTGACGTCCTTGTTAGCACTTCCTGCTGACCAATTACCAGTGGAAGCTCTTGGACGTGTTTTCAGGGTTACTCTTGAGCTGCTTGCTGCATACAAGGAACAGGTTGCAGGTATGTCTCCCCTCATATTCTGGTACTTGCATGTTGTAGGAGAAAGTTGCCTTTATCTCTATCACCGATCTGAGAATTTTGATGTATATATTTTGTGTAAATGGTATTTTATTTGATCTTCGTGTTGCAGAAGCTGCGAAGGAGGAGGAGGAGGCTGAAGATGATGATGTTATGGATGGTTTTGATTCTGACGGTGAAGATGAAGGTGATGGCTCTGACAAAGAGATGGGAGTTGATGAGGAAGAAGGGGATGATGCTGACAGTAATCATCTGAATCGATTAGCGGCACGGGTGAGGTTTCCGGTCTTTTAATGATGGCTGGGTGCTGGTTGGGTGATCTCTCACTGCACAATTTTTGAAGCTAGAAATTTATTAACACAATAATGGAGTCTCCTTTCTGTTTTGAAAATTTGTTACAAACCGGAGCAATGCAACACAAGTTTGCTATAAAGCTATGGTTTTGAATGACCTTATGTGAAGCTACACACACACCATGAAAAGGAATAAACCTAAATTCTCTTTGCATTGCTGCCTAATGTTGTTGGTTCCCTTGAGAATTTAATCTATCCCCACAAAAAATAAAGTAAAAAGGAAACTGAATTAAATTGTCGAGGGATATATATATACCCAAAAAAATGAACTCCTGAGTAGTGTTTAGTTTGGATTCAATGGGAAATGTGATTGCAATGTAATTTTTCCAGAGGAAAATGCTTGCAGTTCCTTCTATCCTGGGGGTGTTAAGTCTGGATTTGCTATGATCCATGTGTGCTTGCTATGTGCTCTCCCAAAAGTAATCATACATTGCAAGGGCAAGGAAGCTCTTCTGCATCTCGATATTATAATATTAGGCTTTTGTGGAGCACCAAAATTTCATGTTGTCCTTTACTTTTTTGAGTTTGTGACCTCCATTTTCTTTGTTTCATTTTGTGTTCTTGTTCTTTATATATTTCCCTGGACAGGAGGAAGAGTGTGGTGATTGTGTATCTGCATATTAATTATAATACTTCATTTTTTATTAGATGCATCACTTTCGAATTTGCGGACTCCTAGGCAATTTTTGGAGTAGAGAGAGATAGAGAGAAAAATTAAAGAAGGCCATGTGATATGAGAGAGATATAATGAAAAGAGAAAGTGATGCATCTAAATTGAAATTTCCATATATAGAAAATGATGCATCTAATAAAAAACGGAGGAAGTACAAGTTTTCTTTCTTTCACAAGCTGAATTGGTTTTTCTTTGTGCTATTTTCTGTAGTTTGGATGGTAATATTTGATCAATATTAATTTTGCATGTCCAGGCTAAAGCCTTCAGAATGAATGATGAGGATGATGATGATGATTCTGATGATGATTACAGTGATGATGAAGAGTTACAATCTCCCATTGACGAGGTTGACCCTTTCATATTGTTTGTTGATACAGTCAAAGGTAAGTGACATGGCACGCTCCAAGCACACAAGCATCAATTAAATGTTTCATGTCTAGTGTATATATATACTTTTCTTTGCTGACTTATTTATTGGCTATGAAGTGATGCAAGCTTCAGATCCTTCAAGGTTCCAAATTTTGACTCAAGCTCTAGAATTCCAATATCAAGCACTGGCCAATGGAGTTGCCCAGCATGCTGACCAAAGACGGGTAGAGATTGAGAAAGAGAAATTGGAGAAGGCAGCAGCTGCTTCCTCGTGATTTCATATTGTGGGAAGGCAAGCAAATGGATACTTGGTTTTGTATAAGAATTTCCATTCTTTTGCCTATTCCATTTGTGATGCATCCAGCGTCATATATTGGGACAGTAATGAAGTTAAATGGTCAGGGGTATGTGTTGGCAAAGTGTTTGGATTTTGTTCTGAGGTCGCTGATGGAAAGCGGTTATGAAACTTGGAAAGTCTCACACATACCTCTGGGGTAGGCATTCCTGGTGTAAAAGGTGCCTGGTGTCTTGCATTCCTGGTAAAAGCTGCCATTGCCATGGTTTGCAACAACCCTTTTGGGGTTTGTAGGTTCCAGAAACGTATTGTCTACTTTTATGGACAAGAGGAGATCTGCGTGTAGGGTGTATAATGTGCATTCTTTTATGTATCTATTTAGGCATCAACTAGGGTGTCCTAGGTTGTACTCACAATTTTGCGTCTGAGTATTGGCCCATTTTCATTTTTTATTTTATTATTTTTTATTTTTTTTTTCCAATTTTATGCATTCAGCACTATATTGATTGGTTGGGCCTTTTTTCCCATCTTTCCAGTGAGGGATGTTTTCAATTTTGGCTATGATGCAGCAGGTTAAGGTGACTTGCTGGTCGATGTAAGACTTTTTTGATTTTTGTATCATATCAAATACACTTGAGTTGAGATATGCGGCTTTGCATCCCTTGAATGTGCCCCTTTGTAAAACCTTGAAACTGATGAGTGAAGAAAGAGTTTTCTGGTGGCGGTTTTTATCTGTGAATGGACCAGAAAGTTATATGCAAATGAAATTAGATTACTGTACAAATTGAAGAAACTATCTAGTTCAGGGGCGAACTAACATAACTTTTACAATCAAAATTATAATTATTTACATGTACGGCATAGTTCACACTCCATCGCTTTAAGTTTGATGCGAGCAGTGATTTACGATCTATTTTTCCAAGTAGATTCTTTTGTAATTTGCGCTAATGTTTTGATTGTAGAGTTAATGACAAATTCTAAATCCATATGAATTCAAATCGAAAAATCCAAAAAAATTGTCATATCTGAATTTGTTTTATTATCCATTGAATTGTCAAATCTGAATAAGTAGTCATGTTTATTTTCAGCTTTTTGTTTTATCATGCATTGAAGAGTTTTATCATTAATGCTAGCGTTGTGTCTTTTGTAGTGATTTGTTTTATTGAGCATTGTAGAGTCATATCAAAAAAGAAGTGGTCGTGTTCCTTGTAAGCCTTTTAATTATGCATGGAAGAGTCCTTACACATTTACTTATGACCAGACATTGAGTTTCGTTGCTATATGAAGATATTTACGCCAAATTTGAAGAACCACACCAAAACACATTCATATAACAGCAACAAATATATTCCATATATAAGCTCAAGCTCAAGTTTATTTGACTCTTATCAATATGAGGAATTTGATCATCTAGTTCATGATTTCTTCACATACTAATTACCAAATATAATGCTTCCCAACCACCTTCACCACAAATCAAACCTGTAAATGAAATTGAAAGCGTCTCGGAGAAAGGGTATATTTAGTTGTATTATGATTACTTCAAGGTTAAATCAGTTTACAATCAACGACAATCAATTCCGTCATAGATTTCGAATGCACAAACCATTCTTCTGTCACATTATGGATAAGATGGTTGGGGGGGATCAATTCTCCTAACAACGTAGGAATGTAGCTGGAAGTCTTAGCTTATCACGACTACAAAAATGCACTGCAGCAATAAGAATGTTAGCTTATGGTTTGGCTCTGAATGTCGTGGATAAATACATACGCATGAGTCAAACTTCCTTTAGGAAGTCATTGCAATATTTTACTCAATGGGTGATCAAACAGTTTGAACCTGAATACATAAGAAGTCTAACATATGGTGATTTAAGAAAAATCCTTCACCAATTAAAGCAATTTGCAGGTCGTAGAAGAACGCAACCCTAATTTAGGAAACCGTGGCAGGTCAAGATTTATGGATTTGACATGCATTAATTTGGAATCCCCGACCCTTGTAATGATCTTAACGTCCTTTACCGTTTTTTGACATTCGATGATGTTCTGCAAGGTCGAGCACCTCTAATTAATTTTATGGTAAACGATCATGAGTACAACATAGGTACATAATGAAAGCTTGTATCATTATGTACAAAATGACCGACGAGGTTTTAAAAAGGTATTACGAATTACAATTTTACCCCAATATATAGTATAAAATGACAAATGCAACCTCTTAATGCACAAATTTCGTCAATCAAATACGGAGTAGATTAACTTGTATTTTCTCCTAGATTTTTTCATATTTCATCATATATTATCATTTCAAAATTATTTTTAAGATTCCCAAGATTTCGGACATCCTATTTTAATAAACCATCCTCACATCTCTTCCCCTCCGACGTTTCCGTCCACCATTTTCCAGTTTCTGAACATTTTTGGAGGAAAAACAAAGAACCCAACTTCCCAAAAGAAAAAAGAAAAAAAAAATTCCATAAAAATTTCTCAAGAAATTCTAGGCATTTTCCCAATAATTTCTGGGTAATGGCGATTCATCTGCGTCTGAAGGGGACGTTGCTCCTCTTTGTTGTTGGTTTAGCCATCGCTTTTGCTGCCGATGATGCCGTTTCTTCCAAATGCAGCAACAAACCTCGAAAGGTCAGCTCAATTTTTTGTCAATGGTATCTCAATTGTCTGTTTTGGATCTCAATTTTGGTTTAAAATTCAGTTTGATCAATTTATTGTTCAAATGGGTTTGGTAATTTCTGATTTCAATGCGTTGATTGTATTTTTTTTTCTTGCAATGGAAATGGAATTGTTATTTGTTTGCTTTGAATTTGTGTTTAATCTAGTTTGTATGAAATGGGTTATATTGTTAAGAATTATTGATTATTAGATTCTAAATTCATATGCCAAAGGTGAAAAAGGGTTATTTTTTTTAGCAGATTTGTCTGTTTTTTCGTGGCTTAAATAAATTTTCGATGTCGGGTTATAATTGTAGAGGTGTGCTCAGCTCAGTGGTTGAAAGGCAGTTTTACGTCGGTCTTTACCTTTGTAGATATCAGTGGCGGAGCCAGGATTTGTAATCCGGGGGGACAATTTTTAGATGTTTAATAATCGACAATAATTATAAGAAAAAAGAAATTGATCACATAAATTGTTTAATATATATTTGAAATCGCTTATGAGATACGACAATTATTCTTATATGGTGAAAGAGGAGTTGTTAAAAAATTAATTGCATATTAAGAAATTTATTAACCAAATTTTTTTTTTTATGCTGGTAAACCCCAATTTTAAGGTATGTAATCCTTAATAATCGATAAATATGATTTATCAAATGATAAGCATTTACACAAATTGATAGTAGATGTAAAGGGATTTGGGTTACATTTTAAAAAAAAAAAATAATAATAAATAAATAAACTTTCTTTGACTAAAAATAAAATTGGAAACTTAGTTCCAAACAAGCTATAAAAAAAATAGAATTTAGGCACACATAATTAGAGAGATAAAAAAATACGGAGACATGTGTTCATTACAAATAGTTTAATAACACATTAGTAATCACTATCAACAAGGCGATACTTGATTAAACAGTTAAATGAGAGTAATTAGAGGTTTGAAGACTTATAATACTTTGTATATATAAATTACATACTATATAATGAAATTTAAAAACTAGTAAAAAAAAATGGCAAAATCCAAAAACAAGAAAAAGAAGTTAAATAGGAGCACTTTGTATAAACTATAAAATGAAATAAAAATAAAGTCCAAAAATAGCAAAAAGAAACAAAAAAAATGATCGGGTAAAGAATCGAACCTAGGATCAAAGAGAAATACAAGCTTTACTCAAGCCCATCAACCACCAGACCAAATGTTGTCTTTGTTATATAAGGTATACATGTAAGGTATTTATTCTTATTTACAGCATTTATTTAAGCTAACATAAATTAAATTTTTTTTTGGAAAAATGGGGGGACAACCGTCCCCCTTGTTCCTACATGGCTCCGCCCCTGGTAGATATTAGCATACAGTATCCAGGCAGTATTATTTAATTCGCTAGTTTGAGATTCGGGTTCACAATTTGCTACCTAGTTTGTTAAATTGGGCCAATTACCATGTCACTAGTATAATTAGCTTTGCCTTTCTGATTCGTGGTTCGTTTGAGGTTGGGGCGAATCAGGTAACACTCATCCAGGGTCTTCAAAATTTCTAAAGGTCTGTTTAGCATTCCTACAAAGTTTTGTTTTTTGGTGCAATTTTGATTGACCTAATGAATGTGCTTTAATGTTTATGCAATTGAGGAGCTATACTTTTTGCTTTTCAGAGAATTGAAGTCAATTTAATTAAGATCATATCCTTTTTGATAGCTTAAGATTTAGCTTAAAAAAATGGATTTGATTCCTTGTACATTGTAAAATCTAGCTCGTGAGTACTTAAAAGTTCATCTTGACACAAAAATTATTGTCAACTTAGCTCAGTTTGGCTCATGCTCCACCTTGAAAAGCTATGACACTATAGTAGACAATGTAAAATCTTTTCTTTTTGTTTGAGTACAACTTTAGGTATTAAGGGGGCGTTAGGTATGGGCAATCAAATTAGGGAAAGAGACGAAAAATTAACAAAAGATTAAAAAAAATCCGATGTACTAATTTTTTTCCCCCATACTTTAAATGTAATTAAATTCAAAAGGAGATAGGAGGAAGAAAGGAGATAGGAGGAAGACTTTTAGGGTAAATATTGTCAAATAGTTATATTTTGCCATAATCATTAGTTGTTGAAATTTGTTAAAAAATATATCAAATACTCCTTCCGACCCTAAATGTTTGTCACTTTTGCCATTTTAGGTGCCCCTTAATGTTGTCACATTTCATATTTTTATAATTTTTAAGATACAAAAAAAAAAAAAAAAACTTTTATACCCTCATTTTTTTGTCCTTATTAAGTTCTCTTTCTATTTTACCCTAACATTTGTCATAAAAATTGTGCCAATTTAATTTTTGACTAATTTAATTTTTTACAATTTCTCAATTTCTCTTTTCCATGTATTTTAATTATTTTTTAAATTGGGAATTTCTCTTTCCCATGCACTTTTATTACTTTATTGGCCGGGAATTGTACTTTCCTATATACTTTCATTACACCACATTGTCCACCTTAATTCCCGTGAATTTTAATCAAAAGAGACAAAACATTTGGGGATGGAGGGAGAAGTTTTATTGCTAAATGTTGTTATCAATCAATATCAAAAACCCAGTAGAGGAAATATTAAAAAAAAATTATTTATCTTTCCAATTCCAAATTTAACAGAATATTAGTAATTTTTTTTTATCTATCCTATTCTATTACTTGATAAATATCCATGGATTACATTATATTCATTATGGAAAATTATGGTAAATAAAAGAAATCTAATTAACATTGTAAAAAAAAAAAAAAAAAAATCCAATAATACTTGCATTTAAGTGGTTGTTTTTTATTTTTTTTTTAACTCATTAAAACTTTCTTTAATAGATTTTTTTTTGAAATAAAAAATCAAGGACACTCTAAGAGATGACATATGTGTCTTTTACCATAAATTACTTAAAGAATATGTAAGTATATGTTAATTAATTTGTTATTCACATTGCTTTATTGTAGTTTCCAATACTTAATCAAACAAATATTAGGCAAAAGATCTGAATGATATTTTTTTCTTGTCGTAAAACATGTCACATCTTATTTAAAGATTTTTTAAATTTTATTATAGTCATCATATATTCTGTTGAAAAAACATGTCAAATCCTTTTGTTTATAGTATATCAATAAAAAGTAATTAAGATTTGTTTCTTAAATACACATTTTCTAGATAATCAAAGGATATACTAAGAGATGACATGTGTCATTGTTGACGTGTCTTTTAGTATTACCTCTGTTTCACATTTTTTGCAACTTTGATGGATGCACGAACCCCTAGGCAAAATTTATTAGTGAGTGTAAGATAGAGAGAGAAAAATAGGAATGCATGTGATAAGGAGAGAAATAGAGAATAATGACAACCAAAAAAGGAAAGCAAACATTAGTTGTAAATAATGTGTAGCATCCATTTTTGGCAAAAGTTGTAAAAAATATGAAACGGAGGTAGTATATATTTATGGATGATTAATGATATATTAATGGTGAATCAAGAGTTTTAGGAGTTAAGGTAAATTACAGTCCTTAAACTTTGGTATCATAGTTTAGGGACCTTGGTGCACATGTGGCAACAAATTTAATGATTTTAAATGCAAAGTTTAGGGACCTTGAGTGGATGAGTTGGCATTAATTAAATTACAAATGAAAGTTTAGGGACTTATAGGGTGAGGTGGCTAATGTATTTATTATAGGCCAAAGTTTAGGGACCTATAGGGACACATGGTGCTCCCATACAAGAGTGATTATAAGTTTTAACCCATAAGTGTAATTTAGTTCAATTAAACTAATTTAATTTCAACTAAACCAATTTAATTTTAGTAAAAATTATTTGCTTTATAAAAATATATAAGTGAGATAATTTAAGTGTGAATTTATGGTCGTCACCATTTACTTCACTTAAACACATTTAGTTAATAATCTAAGGCAATTATTATTTTCTCCTAGATATTAACACAAGAAAAAAGAAGGAAAAAAAAAAGGAAAACCCTTAAAATTTTCTCACATAAAACCAAAAAAAAAATTTAAAATCATTTAGAACACAAAACATAGAGAAAAAAAACCTTGAAATTGACACACAAAAACCCAAAAAATTAAAAACATTTTAGAACATAAACTCATGAAAAAATAAATTGTCAATTAATGAGAAAATTGGGGTGGTATTATTTTTATTCTAGTTTCATAATTTTATTTAGTTTTATATTACAAAGTTTGGGTTTGTCTTACTCACTTTGAAAACAAATTATATTTTTTGGTTTTTTTTTTTATTTTTTTTTATTTAAATTTATTTTGGTGTGTGAAATATATAAGGGATTAGGAGTTAGGATTTGAGGGATGAGTTTAGTTGGGATATAGTGTAAAAAATTTGATTACGAAAAAATGGTAGGAAGTAAAGGAATGATAAAAAAATATAAAATATATCATATGATTATCAAATTTTATTAGTATTTTTATTCTTGCCAACTCACTTTATAAATATTTGGTTAAAAAAAACTCACTTTATAAATCCCTAAGCTTTTGTTTATATTTAATTTAATTAATTGACTTGTGATCTAACAAGTCCCTAAACTTTTGCTTGAAAAAAATAAGTGTAGTCCCTAAACTTTTGTTGACTCATCGCTAGAAGTCCCCTGACCTTTGGCTTAGTTGGCATTGACATTCCTAAACTTTGCTGACTAGGAAGTTCCTCCACCATTCAGGCAAGGGTGGTTGAGGGACCTTGTTGCCTCATTTCAAAGATGAGGGACCAAATGTGCTACTAATGGCAAAGTGGAGGGACCGTATTTTAACTTAACTCAGAGTTTTAGATATACATTTGTGGTAAAGTAAGTCTTGTTGTTGGGGATTCCAAGTCCTTTTGTCTTTACGTTGGCATTAAGAGCAATGTAACTCATCGGCACAAAAAAAGTTCCCATCACTCCTTCACTACCCATTTTCTCACTCTTCCACATCATTTTTCTATGGGCATTTATAGTAAGTAAATTTCCACCCCACTCATGGACAAAAGTAATTTAGCTTGATACTCTCCTTTTTGAAATATCCCACTACACTTTCTCTAACCTACATATATGCTAAAATTATTTTATTTTTATTTTAATTAATATTGTTAACCAATTAACTTTTAAAATGTGGGACCCATATCAATTTCAAGAATGCTTATCAATTGCCCACCATATGGCCATTTTATGAAATGCCTTTCCCCATCATTGTAGTCCATTATTTCTATTTTTTAGCCCATGGTTGACGTTACTCTAATAAAAGTCATCTAATATATGTGTTGGCATAAAATTTCTTAAGGTTATCTCGTGTTGAAATTTCAAATCTTGTTTCATGTCTTTTTACGAGATTAAATAAACTAAATAAAGGAATGATGATTTTGTTGTATCTCGGTGAAAAAGAATAAAATTTGGCACTTGTTTTTCTTATACTTCCTTAAAGATATCTAGCTAGTCATGGTGAAGTAATACATATGAACAAGGCAGTGTAGTCTTAGCATCCACACTTTTGAAGCATATCCTTCCCAATGCTAGCGTCAATACAAAAGCTACCGTCTAAGAAGGACCTTCGTTGTTTGTTTACATGGTTGTTCAACAAGAAGGTGCTTCTCTATTTGAGAATTAATTACTACTCCCTCTATCCGTTAAGTCTCACTTTGACATAGATATTGTAAAAAAGTGTATTTATATATCTCTTGTAATATCATTGCCTTGGTTGAACAATTGTGGTACATGGAAGGATCGTAATAATTAGATTTTACTAGTTTGTAATCGAAGTTTTTATTTGGGTGGGCGATATTGTATGGAATCCAAAGTCGCAAAGTAGTATTTATAATAATTTGTACCCATTGTATTTGCACCAATAGAGTTTGCAAATGTATTTGGACATCCACATATGGTAATCAATTATTTATGGAACAGATGGTGTACTTGAGATCATGGAACTAAAACCCGGATTTTGAATTGTTGTACGTCAAATCAAAATCCTAGCACATTATACCATGGCAAAAGTTTGTTATAAACTAACCTTAGGAGGGGCAATTTGGGAAGTCTAGTATTATGAGGTTAATAGTCTTTAGTATAAATAGAGAGAGAGGAGAAAAGAGAAGGTGGGCAGAAATTGGTATTGAAGGGAAACCTTTAGAGAGCTATGGCCTCAAGCCATAGTGAGATAGCCTAAAGCTATTTTGAGAATTATAGCCCTAAGCTATTAACCTTTCTTTTTTAAACCTTTTCATTGTCAATCAATATTCATGCTTCCATCTTTATTGTTTCTTCTTATTAAATCAATTTACCAAAAATCAGCTTATTTAGTTTAACCAAAGAACCCCTCTTTCTCTCTATTTTACTGTTATTTGCGTAAGTTAAAACTTAGTAGTACTCCTAGTCTATTACAAAATCACGTCTTCTCCCTCATTGTCTGTTATGTAATCATGACTCACATAAGAACAATTTTTTTTTATTTTATTTTTTTTATTTATTTTTATTTATTTATTTATTTATTTTGTATGTGTTGCATCCATACTTTTATTAATTTGCCGAATGATATTCTAATATTCAAGGCATAATATTTTAAATAAATTTTTTAGAAAAAATTGGCATTATTAATCCCAATTTTGGGCCATTTACTTTAATTAATCTTAACTATCAATTATCCCTGAATAATCCGAACTTTAGGAGTATTGACTTTTATCAGGTCCAAAGTGATTTTTATTTTTTTGAATTGCCACATGTCACACATTAAATGGTCCCAAAAAAAAAACTAAATTAAAAAAAGAAACTGAAACCACCCCTTCCCCTTCTCCTCCCAGCTAGCCAGCCCCTTTACCGGCAAAGAACCCAGCCCACATCCGCCTCCCACCACTAGCCGGCAAGCTAGTCAGCGACCTCACTCTCACACACCAACCCACACAACCACACAATCCCACCTCGCCTTGCCACCATTTCGTCAGCACAAACCTCCACCACTCACTTGCCATTCAACGCACTACCTCACAAACCCACGCAACCAATCACCTCTCTCCCCAAGCACTGCAACACCCTCCACTCACATCGTTGCAGCCGTAAAACAGAGCCACCAGCCGACACACCCACCCAATCAACAACCACGAAATATCACAGCATGCCCAGCCAACACACCCACGTACCCAACAACCATGAACCCCCACGATTTCACTGCCCGGATTTCACGAAACACTGCCACCAGCCACCGAAATCATCTTTCTCACCTTTACCCCTCCTTTTCTCTTTCGAATTGGGTGGCTCAGTGGGGAGTTCGATCGAGTTGGATGGTGGGATTTTGTGGGTAGGCTTTGGGTTGGTTGGGTGGGACTAGAATGACGGTACGACTGATTCGAACCGGCGGCTAGGGAGGGTGGGGTGCGGCTAGTTTTGGGGGAACGGAGGTGGTTTCTGGTGGGCTAGGGAGGGTCAAGTGGCTAAGGAGGGGGTGTTTATTTATTTATTTATTTTTTGGCTAATAGGGTGCTGTCACGTGGCAAAGCCTAATAAAAGCCAATACCCCCAAAGTTGGGATTATTCAGGAATAATCGATAGTTGGGATTAATTAAAGGAAATGGCCCAAAGTTGGGATTAATAATACCAATTTTTCCAATTTTTTTATAACAAAGTATGTTACCCACCCAAAATATGATAGTTTGATCTATGTTACTCAGGCACTCATGGGTACGTTTTCAAGTATCCTACCGGCTATTTTGTGAAAAAAAATCTATGGTTTTGAATAGGGGTGCTAATTGAGCGAGTCGATCCCGAGCTGAGGAGTGCTCAAAATGGCCCAAACTCGATTGAAAAACTTTTTACATGTGCTCAACTCGTATCGCTAAAGTTTCGAGTCAATAAAACTTGCTCGACTTATGCTCGTTAAAGTTTTGGTCATGTTAAAATTATAGGCCTTTATTTATTTTTGTTCACTTTATATGGTTTTCTTTTTTATTTATTCATTATTAAAGATTTACTCTTTTTTTTTTATTATATAAATTAACTCTTATTAAGTGTCAAATTATTTTAAACATGGTAACTTCTATATGCTAATAAAATATATAATTGAGTTGCTCACGAGCTTATCGAGTTGAGTTAGAGCTTGCTCAACTCGTGCTCGTTAACATATCGAGTCGAGTTTTGACCGAGTCGAGTTCGAGTTGCTCGTGAGCCGTTCAACTCGGTTAGCACCCCTAGTTTTGATCCTAAAATGAATTGTCCAATTGTCATACCATGTCTGAGTGTCGAGGGTCCGACACGAGTACTTCAGTAACGGTTATATTATGTTGATTTTTTTTTCCTCTGATGTTAAAATAAAATCACACAACATTAGGTTTGATTGCTTTATTCATTTATTCTCGGAACCATGATCGCATCCCTCCTTTTGTTTGTTTGTTTGTTTTTTAGTGTTACGCTTACCAAATGTGGCCATTTTTTTTATAAGTGTTACACTTCCATTTTTGGCAAATTATTTCATTTTAATTGTATCTCTCTTCTCCCATGGTCTCCAATAAAACCCACAACTCCTTTTATATCATTTTTAACCTCTCACATCTCGTAATTTTCAATAAATTATTAATAATATTAATTGCACTATCTTTTCTTATAATTTTTTAATACCCCAACTACCCCACTTACATCGTGTGTTTTTTTATTTATTTTTATTTATTTAAGTCAATTAATTTACCTAAAACTATGTGCCGGTCAAAGTAATACTTTTACTAGTAGGGTGTTTGCTAGAATTGTACATTCCCCATCCTTGAACACTCGCGACTCTTATCATAACACATACTATTAGGAGATAAATTGTTCTTTGATTATCAATTTTTATTTTATTAAAAAGTAGATGTGGTTTGAGATTAGTGGGGTGCTTTTTTCATTGAAGGAGCGAGAGTATGTGTGTGAGTGTTTGACCCTAAATTGTTAGTAGTGGGAAGAGATAGGAATTCAAATTCTGGTGGGGTTGTTCCCAAAGCAGATTTGAAGAGTGGGGATGAATTGAAAAGGAGAGTGTAAAGGTTATTTTGGGATCGAGGGAGTCCATAACATGCAATTTCATTGAATCCAGTATGGATATTGTTTGGTCGAATTTTGCATATCTTCTATTCTAGTCTAACATCTCCTGGTCTGAATCATGTACATTGCGTCCAATATATATAAGCTTCTAAACTTTTATCAGTGCTTATACAATTTCCGTGCTGCTACTTTTTTTTATGTGAGTATTTATGTATGTGTTTGGTGCATTTATCTCTCCAGGTTAAGGTGAAATACTGGGTCAATGGTGTTGAAAAAGGTCTTTTGAAGGCAATAACTGCAGATTTTGGCCCTTACCCTCCTCATGAGGAAAAAAGTCCTAGATTACCAGCTGTATTAACAAATCCCTTGAATGGTTGCTCTAATTTAACATCGAAGGTCAGTGCTGCATTATGTTTGAACATAGCTAAGCACTTCTTCCCCTTTGCCTTCTTTAATATCTTTTTTTCCGGATGATGAAGATGGGTAGAAATGAAGACAACATTGGTTTTTGTAGAGCTTTAAATTTAGCAATGAAGTCCTTTGTACCAGCAATTTTGATGTGTACGATCCTGCAGTTTTTTTTTTTTTTTTTTTTTTTTTTTTTTTTTCCAATTTCACTATCAAGTTCTCTAGGCCCATCAGTGTATCTGTGATGTATCCTATACTCAATTGCTAATTTGCTAGTAGTCACATCAGTACATTAATTGACTGAAGATAACTGATAATTGTTTTTGATTAGCTCTCTGAATATGACTACACTGGTGGTTGTGTCAGCCCAATTATTAATGGGACTGTGATTTGGTCTAGAAGAAAACCTAAAGACCAGATTGGTGAAAAGTCAAAATCTAGTTAGTAGCTTGAGTTACACTTTGGCTTGTGCAACCAGGAACTGACTAGTTGGTTGATGTGTTTAGGTGCTTGAAAGAATTGCAAAAATGCTCAAAGTTGAAAATGAATGCTGAAGCTTATAAGGAGAGTTCAAATCCTTTGTCCCATTCTTATGTCTCATAACTCTCATTTATGTACCACTTGATGTTATTGGCCTTTGGACCACATCATCATGTTTGCCCCATTTTATATTAAAAATATACAACTAATAATTTAAATATCTCTTATTTTTTTAAATCTTCACTACCTCTCCTCTTTCTTGTAAACCTTCACTGATGACCACCATGAAACCCCTTCATATTCACATCCTTAAATTTATAACCGAGCACAAAATTACTGTCTCCATCAAATTCTCTCTCTTAAACTCCTTCTCAACTAGAGTAATTTCCTTCACAACCTCCACATTCAAACTCTCAAACAGAATTTCCCACCCTAGAATATAGGGGGAGTCTTGGATTATTATAATTTTCTTAAATTGTATTTTACTTTATTTTGTTTTTTATATAAGGGGTTATAAGTTAGATAGATTTAGCTGTTTAGAGGATTTTCCCACTAGAGATGAATCGAAAGATGACTGGTAGAGGGTGGAAGGAAAAAGAGGGGGGGGGGGCGGTGGAGGATAGGTGTGAAGGTTTTTTTTTCCTCTCAAATTGAACGCAACAATGAAAAGAAAAAATAAAATTAATTATGTGACATAGTCCGTTAGAAAAAAATTGGCACACCTAGTGGTGCAGAGAAATGGCACAGAGGATTTCAATCCCTTACAAGAAATGTTCACTCTTAGTGCATGTTAGTGTCTTTTAGAGTGTAATAAAAATAGAGAGTATTTTTTTCTTTTCTAGAGTTTTGTAATGATTAAGTAGAAGCTGTTGATGTTATTTTAGTCACTTCTGTACATGAAGGTTCATCTAATAAAACCATAATCTGGCTGCATGATGGAAAGAATTTATTTTTCTGTTAAAAATTTGTTGAAGTTTGAGGTATTGACAACCGATATTTTATCATTTTCAAACCCTATAACTTTATACCCAAAAAAAGGGAAGCAAATATATGGTATATATAGCTCTTTTGAGGGTTGTTTGTATCCCCCATTCATGTCCACCAATTGAATTTCTATCAATAAATACATATTAGTACTTTACTTTTCCAGTTGCCAAAAAGAGTGATTATGAATAAGGTTGTATAGTAGGACATCTGTATGTAAGTATCAAAAGGTGAGCTACCTCATTTTAATTTTTGTAAAACCTCATGCCACCTCAATGAAATTTTCCCTGTAATCAATTAAAGGCCACAAACCATTGAAATGTGTTTTGCATTGTGGGATTGAAGAGATTGGGGAACATTTGTTTTTGAATTTTGTATGATGTTTACTTTGGTAGGCATGAGAGTGGTGACGACTGTTTGGTGGTTGGTTTGTGCAATAATTATGATGGTTTAATGTTACTCTGATTCTTCATTTCGCTTCCTATACTCTTGTTGGAATTCGGACATTGATATAGCTATTTCAGACAAAAAATTCAGAAAATGGCTGTCTACAGCTGGACATGTACCTATGTTTTGACACTATTAGCCGAGTCTGAGTTACATGAGGATCTAATCTGATAGACATCAAGATGACTAAGAAAATGTGAGAACATATATAGATGAGTAAATATGAAGAATTGAACTTGATGGGGAATATGTGAAGCAGTTTCCCTTGCTGTATTGTTTGTTCTCTCTTGTTTGTCTTTCTTAAAAATATTATTGTAACTGTATAATTTATTTGACTGAGACAATTTTTATTTTCCAGGTGAGTCAATCAGTTGCACTTTCTAATCGGGGGGAATGCGAATACACAATCAAGGCAAAAGTTGCTCAATCCGGTGGTGCTGCAGCTTTGATTGTCATAAATAACCAAGATGGTTGGATTTCCTTTTCACTCTCTCTCTTTTTTAATTAGCTTGCAGGGTGTCAATCAGTTTTTGTCTGTATATTTTTAATCTTTTGTTTCTCTTACTCTTTCTAGTCAGTGTGTGTTCTAGTTGATTTTTTGCGAATGAAAAGTATATGTTGATTGAAGATGAGCTATGCATAGAGAGACAGGAAAAAAAATATACAATTATTATGAAGATGAGCAAGTAAAATACACAATGAACGCAAATACTGTCTTTTTGTTTGCAATAGTGGCTGGAAGAAATCTATCTATGCTACATGTTTCCTTCTTTTTCTACGACTTATTTTTAGCTATTTACTGGCTAAACTGTTTCTCCCAAAAGGGTAGCAGCATTAGATGTACTTGTGGTGATGTTGTTGAGCACAATTAATGTTTTGTTGATTTTTCCTTGAGTCCAATATGTTCAAGGTCATGTTTTATAATTGCTGAGTGGTATGGATTGTATTGGGAAGAAGAAGAGAGAGAAGATGAGCTGTTAAGCTTCCTTTATTGAAACAAAGGAGGAAACTCTGGGGTGAAAAATGTCATGTTTATTAACAAGAAACCCATTACTAAGGTTTACACTGCAAAAAATGTAGTTTAATCTTAGGTCTAAAAGCAAAGAAATCTATAATTAAGAAATTGCCATGTATATTGGTACGATTGTTGCGTGTCTGCCAAAATTACCCATCTTCAACATCCTAATCATGTATAGGGAAAGCTAGGGTCGATTGCTTAAAGATTGGATTGGATTGGATATATCTGAACCCTATGATATAAAAACATTAAGTACTAACAATCCGAATCAATAAGAAGGAAATAGTGTAGTAAATTATGAATCTAAGTAGTGAACAATCGATAATAATGAATGCATCTGTTCCCGACACTTCAACTTACTTATTCACTCACTTTAGACTGGCCAGACTCTTTTTTTTAGGAAAGGTTAAAGGTGGATAAAGTAAAAAAGAGTGGCTGGAAAGGTAGTGAAAAGGATTTGTAAAAATGGAATAAAGTAAAAGTGAATCAAACTTCTGAAACACTGAATATACAGAAAGTGAGTTGAGCTTTGGGAACAGAGGGAGTAACTTTAATTACACCATTTCATTCTCACAATTCAATAATTTATTGCTTAAAATATCTAAATACCTTACAAAATACAAGTATTAGCCAATCATATTAAGAATCAAGAATTGAAAAAACAAAACTCTAATTCAAAGAATTGTCTAATTTAATAACATGTGAATATCAATGTAATGAAAACAAGCAATCTGTAAATATTATTCAATAACCAATTCGAATAGCAATTGCATGAATAGTTTATAATACAATTGAATGAAAAATACCAAAAAACAATTCCATTAATGGTTTAAAATACAATTAAAAGATAAATACTCTGAAACTATTAGATTGCATCTTTTTTTTTTGACAGAAACTATTAGATTGCATCACCTAAGGAAAGTACAAAGAAAAAGGAAGATGGTTTCTAACACTAATGGAAAAAATTCAAGAGCAATCACAATTGAAACCAAGTTGCGTCGACTTCTTGTTGGACTGCTAGTCTCTTCTTCTTCTGTTCGCTGTTCGCTGCTGTGCATCTGCTACCATGGATTCAGATATGATACTGATTTAGTGAGATGCTACTCCCTGAAACTTTTTTGATACTATGCTCCAAAATTGACACCGCTAAATTAGCCATATCTTCTCAAAGAACCCCATTGTTATGATATTCTCCTATCTCTTTTTCTTCTATCTCTAATTTCTTGAATATTTCACCGTCTTCATGAACTCTTGCTGTTGTTGCCTTGCTGCTTTGAGCAAAAATCCACCAACATTTGTGACGGTGCTATACGTGTAGGAAATTTGAGTGTTGGGCTTCTTTCACATCCTTGTTGGATTAACCGGGGTGTTCAAAAACCCAGTCCGCACTTGATAAATAAAATGGATTAGAATGAAGAAAACCGATCCGGTCTATTTGAGAAATCTAATTTTCTGGTCTCTAGTTTTGTTTGTTCCAAAACCCTTTAAAAGCCGATCTTGGACCAGACTGGTATGTTGTTTAAAATCATACATAAAAAAATTTATAATGATTAATATTCTTCTTTAATACCCCCCTCCACAACACTTCCCTAAAACATTAGATTTTCTCTCCTACCCCACACTTCCCTAAAACATTAGATAAAGAAATATTACTCCCTTTGTTTAAGAATAAGTGCAACAATTTGAACTTTACACTATTTTGATACTAACTTTGACGTTGGGGGAAAGAACACATACATGTATAATTTGTATCAAAGCAGTTCAACAATAATACTTATCATCAACTTTAACTACCCCCCCCCCCTTCCCTGCTGGAAATTAAAAGAGTAAAAGAATAGTATACTTAAAAGCAGTGGCGTATCCAGGATTTTAAAGCACGGTGTGCACAATTATAATAGGATTCAATTATAACATTCTAACATGATAAATCATTGTATAATTTAGAGCAATAATACATCATAAGTTATACTAAGTATAAGAAACAATTTTTAAAATAAAACCCAATACAACTTAAATCAAAAACCTTGTAAAGTAAAAATTTACCAATTACAAACTTCCCTTTTCTACCAATCTTTCATGTGATAAGGTGATGTTTCCTTAATTTTCTTTAAGAAAAGAAAAGAAAATAGGATTGTATTTTCCACCAGGGATATGCACTTGTATATTATGTCTGCCACTGCTTACAAGTCTGCTCCTTTCTCTTATTATTTCTCCCTTTTTTTTCTTAAGGCCCCAACATACAAAAATTTAAAAAATAATGATAGAATTTTGGGTGGATTATACGCAAAGAACCTATATTGAAGCCATAACCTTGAGTATTGGAATTTATTGCCTGTGTAACCATGACCTTTCCATCATTTTCCTTTTTCCAGTTTCTTCTCCATAACCTTAGGTATTGGAATTTATTGCCTATACAAGCTATTTTCTTCCTCCATTTCATATTTAAATGAATGAGCAGTCAGTGAAACCATATATACTTATATTCAATATTGCAAATTAGAAGAAGTTTGAAGGGTAAAATAACTAACACCTTAATTTTGTATAGTGACATTATGAAATAAAGCTGTATGTCTTATATAAGTTAATATGGAGTATTTTTCTTTCCTTGCAGAACTAGATGAAATGGCTTGTTCCAAGAATGTAACTGATTTGAACATTGCTATTCCTGTCGCCATGATTTTAAAATCCGGAGGAGACGTTCTTAGCAAAGCTATAGAAGCAAGGAATCGAGGTACTTGTAACCTTTTCATAAATGAATGTTTGGACCAAAATAAGGGTAAATATGTGTTATGAGGGACAATGAGTTAGCCTTTGCCAAATTCCAGTAGCAGTTAGGATAACTATGGTTAAAGCTGGATGATAGTCTTCTGCTGCTTAACCACTTTAACCTATACTAATATCCTTTTCCCTTTTTTCTTAATGGGGATTTATTTCCAGTGGAGCTGCAAATAGACTTGCTAAAACCTCCAGTTATTGATCTTCCTAGGACCTTATTATGGGTTATAGCTGTTGCAACACTTACAATTGCTTCCATCTGGCCGGATCTATGTGTACAAGAACAGATTGATGAAAGCTATGATGAACTGTCACGAAAGGTTTACTACTTAAATCTCATTTCATTTTGAACTACTGTGCTTGTCTTGTCCGGAAGTATATTTTTTCGTGTGTAGTTTTACCTACTACTCAAATTACATATTCTATGATGACAAAGTAGTCTACATAATGTTTGGATATAAGCTCTTTTTTGTTCTTGGAATTTTATGAATGGCAGGAAGGGCAACCTTTTTCAAAAAATAGGCTGATTTTAAATTATCTCTTGCCTCTCTATAACAATACAAACATAAGTCTTACTTCAGTATAGTAGGGTTATCCTTTGTACATATCTTCTCTGTTGCTACTTACTGTTGTTTGTCAATTTCAAGCAGCCTATAGTGTAAATTTAGTATATGCTTGATAGAAAATAAACAAAATCTAAAGTTAAGGTTCTCTGTTATATATTTATGATGAACAGATGGTTGATTTCAAATTGCTTTTCATGGGTTTTGATATAAATAGCTACTCCCTCCTTCACTTTTTTGATTTGCCCACTTTCTATTTTAGGCCGCTCTTTTATGTTCTACTCACTTTGCTTTATTCTATTTATGGCATACCTTTTTACTATCTTACCCCTTTAACCCCTCAATAATTACACATTTTCATACTCTCTCACTTTATTCACCTTTTTATTTACACAACCCACATTTTTACATTCTCTCTCTTACTTTATCATACATCTACTCACATTCTTCAACAATTTTTTTAATAGCGTATCTATAGTAAGTAAATAGAATGTAAAAGAACAGAGGTATTATTACCCCAAGACAAATGTTATGTATCATTGAAAATCTCATTATTTGTTTGGATGATTAACTCTTGTTTTACAAATGTTTATTTTTTTGTTGGGAAAATAACTCGTATTTTTGTACAACTTGGTTAGTTTTACTAGTGTCTTAGGGTTAAACTAAGTATTGTCTTTTTTTTACATTTATTATTTTTATTTTATTCTTAGATTTCTATTATATATGTTTGTGTAGTTTGTTGTAATGTACTACAACCAATCTTATGGTGAATGTGTTGGTTGATGACATTTAGCGAAATGATCAGAAGGACATTATGTTTTAGCCTTTTGAAGGCTTAAGATAAGTTAGAGTTTCTAAAATAAGGTATTACATTGTAAAGGATTTTGGGATTAAATAAAAATTGCTGTTGGGGTTTTTCTCATAGGCTTTCTTTTTTGTAATAGTTAATGAGTAGCCCAGAGGAGCTGGGTTGGATTTGTGAGGTATGCAGCGAGGGTATCCTTTCTTACCTTTCTGGTTTACTTAGGATGCTTGGGTGTCTTCTTGTTATGGATAAGATTGCTAGTATCCTAGTAGCGTACACTCAGTACAGGGCCTTAAAGTAGGAAGGGATTTCGCTTATGTTGTTTACACAAGCAACATTATCGGTTTCCCAACTTTTAGAGTTTGAGCATGTCCTTGCTATTCTTCAGGCATTTCGCTTGGTTTCAGTCTTTAAACTTGGGAAAGTACTCCACACCTTTCTTATCTTGCTTCATTTCAATTTCAACCACTGGTCATATTCATACGGATGGAAGATAGCACATTTATCTTTCGGTTGAAGAAGTATTTTTATGATGCTAGTAATTTACAATTTGGAAATACAAGAGAACTAAGCTGTTATGGTAGGTGTTTTGCTGCTGTCTCTTGGGTATCGTAATCTATAAGAAATGGTTGAAATATTTGAGGTCTGAACATCTAGTTAGGTAGCTTCAGGATAGAGTGGAAAATCAATTAGCTACCTTGCCCTTTCTTCTAACTAACTTATTTCATTATTTCCACCCCCTCACCCCCTTTGCCATTACGAAGAATAAGGTTTGGGCTGAATGGGGAGTTCCTGTAGTTGAAGGGCTTTATTCATTGTCATGACTTATATTAAGAACTGATATTAGGATGACCAGTTATAAGAAAAACTTTGTAGTGCTTCAAGAGTCCAAATCTTGGTTGCTTTCGGATTTGGAGTTGTTTCAACTATGACTTTATGTTCTAGTGTTTATTATGCTCTAAAGTTGGCGTCGTATCTTTAAGTTATAAATATTATATATTTAAGAAAACTTGGAGTCCAAATTTTAAATGTTTTAAAGAAGATTGGGAGGTCAATATTTTAGACCTTTATCTAAGGTAACATATCATTTAGAAAATTAACTTGGAGTCTTCTAAATGTTCTAATTGTTCATCCTCCTATAAATTGATATCTTGGAATGAATAGTCTATATTCATCAATTAAATCCTTTGTACTTTTTTTTTGAAATCCCTTTGTAATCTTTTTACGACAGGAATCTTCTGCAGCCAAGGATGATTCTGAGCTGGATACACTTGACATAAATGTGATGGGTGCTGTGGTGTTTCTCATTGTGGCTTCAGCGTTCCTGCTGCTACTATATTTTTTTATGTCATCATGGTTTGTCATTGTGCTGATTATTATGTTCCTCATCGGAGGTTCTGAGGTAATATCTGGTTTCTGACAATTCTTATATCTGCTATTGACTGCTAGAATTTTTTCTTGGCTAGTGCTAGAATGTAGAATACTACTTGACTTGAGATTTTCTTCCCTCCAGCCTTGGGTCAATATATGGATACTTTGTTTAACTCTAAGGATATATATAATTGTCTACTTTCTATGTGAATAGCAGAACTTGTGTGCACATGTATCTGCACTTGGCTTTCCTCTTGCACACCAAATGTCTTAGCAAACTATGAACAATGTTATTACGAAGTATAAATTACAGAGATCAAAATTAATACTTTTGCATAAATTACATAGGTCATTTAGATTATAAATTATGGAAATGTAAAAATTTTGGATGCTATAATTTTAATAAATTGTCTTATGGTTCGGGTCAGGTGCACTTATGAAGAGTTTTAGTAAGGGAGTGTAGGCTTTCATCTGGATTATTTATGCTAATTTTATGAAATTGTGTGTTATATTTATGAAAGTTTAATATTCTTGTTAATCATTTCAAATTTGTTTGTATTGAAGGTGATTTTTCCAATAATTGTCAAATATACTTCCTTTGTTTTTAAATGCCACATTCTGGACTCTCTCACCTAAATTTTACCGAACTTTAATTATTTTTGTTTCATGTAAAATATTTTTATTGATTTTCTTACTTAAATTTACTAAATTTTATTGATTAAAACTTATTTTTATTAATTTGCTATTATATTGTTCTTTGAAGTTATTGAATTTAACTAATATAAACTTACTTTTACTGAACTTAAATTATTTTCATTGAAAATTACTTTTAAAGATGAATAAGTGAAGCAAACACGGGCTTACTTTCCTTAAAATTCTACCCTATTTTAATTTTATTCAATTTTTTTCTCCTCGCTCTCTTCCTTACCCTACCAACAGCAATGCCCATGTTTCTTGTTGAGGGAATACAAGTTCTACAATACATGTAAATAGTAAAATTAAATAAGGATATAACTTTTTGAAGTTTAGTTCACTTGTTTTGGGCTTTGCATCAAAGTTGTTTTTTAATCTTTATTTTTTATTATAAAATTTTTGTCAAAGGTTATTCACAATTTGTTTAGTAGAGCCTATTGTACCTTGCTAGACCCATTTACCATCTATCCAGCCTTTTTACCACCATCTCTTATTCCCTTTCATTTTATTACCACTGAAAAATACAAATATCTAAAATTTATTACTTCCTCATTTTTTTTAAGTGATACGTTTTGACTTTTTGCACTATTCACCTAATCCACTTTGACTAATGTGATTTATACATAAAAAAAAAAAAATAGTCTTGTGGGTACTTGTTCGAATCGTCTCAATGAATTGATAATCAATATTCAATTGTTATAATTTTTATTTATTAATAATTAAAGGTTTTATTAATTAAAGTCTTACATAAGCATAGACAAACATGAGAAACGTTTCACTTCAGAAAATTTACAAAGGGAGTGTAGAGTTAGATTTTTCTCTCGTCCATCATTTCACCGCGCATTTTTCTCTCATTTGAGCAGGATTCTAGGAAACCCCGTGTTTGGGACTGTTTACAAAGCGTATATCTTTTCTTTAGAAATTATTGCAGAAGTGAAGAGATCAAAGCATACCCATGAGTATTGCTCGTTTAATAAAATAAGGAAATTATAAACTATATGAAAATTGACTTTCATGTAGTTTGCTCATTCTAATGAAATGAGCAATTTCGACTTCCATAAATTTTTCTCATTTTGATAAAATGAGAAATTTTTTGGAAGTGAGTTTCTTTCATATATTTTGCTCATATTATGAAATGAGCAAATTTAAAATGTCAACTTATACTGGTTTCCATTAATCATGCTCATTTCCTTAAGTGAGCAATTTTTTGAAAATCAGTATAAACCAACATCCATATAATTTGCTCATTTTATAGGAATGAGCATATTTTAAAAAAGTCGGTTTGTATTGACATCCATATATTTTGCACATTTCGTTAAAATGAGCATAGCTACCATATATTTTGCTCATTTCATTAAAATGAGCAAATTTTTGAAAGTCAATTTATACCGGGACCTGTGGTACGGTGCATACTTTGGAGGTTATTATAGTTTGGGAACTATGCAGAATATAGATATATACTCCCTCTCTCTCCATTTTTTTTTTTGGTTCTACTCACTTTCCATTTTAGTCTATTTTTACACAGACTCACCACCTTCTATATTTTCTTAAGTTACGTATCTACAAAGTAGAGCATAATTCTGCCAAAAAAAAAGTAGAACATAAAAGAACATATAGTGACAATTACAATTACTCACTTTAGTAATGAGTTATCAATTTATGCTTTAGCATAATGGCCAGAAGCAGATGCAGAAAAAATATTTAACGGAGTCAAAATACATTTGATAAATTTTAATAGGGTCAAGTGGGTAATTTTATAGGGAAAAAACTCAACTTTATAACAAAAATAATTTATTTTATATGAAAAAAATTTATTTATTTTGTTCAAATGGGGTCACTTGACCCTCCTTGCTACTACATGCATCCGCCTCTGATAATGGCCATAGTGTGTTTAAAGCCATGTTACTGTATAATCATTTGTATGACAAGTTTCAAAACATTTTTCTAATTCCATTGGTGCGTCTATACTCTATATGCATAACATTGTCTTGGCAGCTTTGTATTCGTGAATTTTACCATCAGGAAAGAGAAAACTAGCTAGTTTACCTTCATAGGATTGCATTCTCTTACATAATGTTGAAGCTTACAAGAGTTAGGATGGTTATTAGTGTGGACTGTGGAGATTGAAATTCACATTTACATTTTGTATGTTGAAGCTTACATGAATTAGGATGCTTATTAGTTTGGAGACGGAAAATCACTGTTCAAAATGGAGGCTAAATTTGATTATATTATTTGTCTTCTATGCACAGCAAAGCCATTTTTTTATTATTATTTTTTTAATTTATTTTATTGAGCTAAAATCCAGAATCTCTAGTTTATACCTTCCATATTTATTTATGTTGCTTTAGTTTGTGGCTTCTCTTATAGGGTTAATTGCTTAATTCACTATGAAAATTCTGTGTTCTGTCTACAGGGAATGTATTATTGCTTCACAAGTCTTTTGCTAAGGTAGGTCTTACATATGCTTTTCTTTGTGGACATTACACAAACTTCATGTACAAGTTCTGTAAATTTTTTTATAAAAACAACATATTGGTTTATTTTTCTGAATGTTTGTTTCTGTTTGATGTTGCTAAGCAGACGATGTGGAAATGCCAGACAAATACATATTAAATTACCTCTGGTTGGGGAATTTTATGTTATTCGTTGTTTGTTCTGGTTGGCTTGTTTTGGCTTTGGAATTTTTTGGGTGGTGACTCGACACAGATCATACTCGTGGATTGGTCAAGATATTCTAGTAAGCCCATAAATATCTGTTTTTGTATCAATTTCATATTGATAGTCTTGTGTATGGGACTTTAATGCTTTGTGAGTTCTGGACATCCAATTTTACAGAATTTAATGCATGTATGATAAATTTTGAAATGTGAATAACCTTCATTTAATATGCCTGTAGTGTATTTGTTTTACTACAATTTGTCATTTAGTATGTAGAGCATATCTTTTGAAACATGGCTACATGTCAGATAGATGCTAGGTATTGGGTTTAATTTGACTTATATTTTTCATCCACATTTGAGGGGAAGTGTTCTTGGCTTATCAAAACCAAAGTCCAGCTTCTCTGCCCACATCAAAACTAATCCAACCCATTTACAATTATGTCTGCTGTGCACTAAACAAAGAAATCAGAAGTTCTTTTTTTCCTATTTGATATATAAGCTCCTTTTTTTTTGTTATTAACTTTTAGGAAGAGAGCATAGCTTTCCATTCATGCTATGTGCATGGAGTACACACTTATTGATGGTGATAGGTGCTAAAATTAATACAGAGTAGATTTTATCTTATTTTTATGAAATCATATCTACCTTTCATGCATAATCTTTAGGGTTGAGCTATATTTTATTAAAATCCTGTTCCATTTCTGATTTAATTTGTTGGACATACAATCCAAATCTTGATTTTGGATAATTTGGGGTCGGATGACCAACTAGAAAATTCATATATTAGATACCATTTTGGGTATCGAATATTCAAATATATTCATATAATTCAATTATGATTCATATTGGTTATAAAAAAAATCAAGTAATTGTGGAAACTTTCAAACTTGTTAAAATTCCCCCACTTACCTTATAAATGAACCCAACATAATTTCCTCATTTCCTAGTCTCCCCACATTTTAGTCTACGATCTTCCTCTCCTCATTCTCCCATACCTCTCACCCATTTCTCTCCCTTTTTTATTTATTCTTTGTTGAGCTTTCTTATTTTTCCAAGACTCCCTAGCCAATTCGAGCCTCATCTTGGACATGAAGTAAATATTTTATTAATTTCAAACTCCAATAATTCTGGAAAATGGAGGTGAAAACATGATACCGAGCAACGAACGATGTGAAGTTTTTGTGAAACGAAACTATGGCACTAAGAAGCTGTAGCAACTTACTGATTTGTATTATTGCTTTTAACTTTTAGATGTAGACTTTTATGTTTATGTCTTGGAGTGATTATCTGATTTGTTGACACACTGTATGTAGAGTAATGTATAAAAAAGCTCAAGGCGCGCTGAAGCAAGAAGGTTCATGCAGCGCCTAGGTGCGCCTAAGGTGCGCCTCAGGCACCTCTTTGAAGTGAGGCGCACTGTACAAGCAGTTAAAAAATTGGCAGAAATTTCTCCAGGTGCGCCTCGGGTGCGCCTCACTTGCGCCTCGGGTGCTCTTTGTGCGCCTAGGCTGCGCCTTACCAAAAACGCCTCGCCAGACCAAGTTAAGCGCTTACCCCATTTCGCCTTGCGCCTCAGCGCCTTAGGCGCGCTTTTTCAAACACTGATGTAGACTTGTCAATTTTTGACTCGACTCGAATCCGACCCATTTTTGTGGGTCTTGAAAAAATTAACTTTTACCCGAACTCGTTTAACCCGTAAATTTGCGGGTTAAACCGCCCGCCGACTCGTTGTTATTACTACCTCCGTTACATATTAGTTGCAACTTTGGGTATTATTTGTGAGAGATAAAATATTCCAAAGTTGCAACTAATATGTAATGGAGGTAGTAGTTTTTTTTCCTTTTGAAAATGAAAACCTAGTTCTTTGATTGAGTTTGATCATTTTTCTAACATCCTACATTCTATTCACTTTTTTATATCTATCTATCTATCTATCTATCTATCTATCTATCTATCTATCTATCTATCTATCTATCTCATATAACTCTCTTTCAGATCCACACCAACCATCGACCCACACCAATTGCATCCGCATAACCCAAATTATTGTCATGCCACCGACTACTATTAGATAGTTTTTAGTTTGAATTTTGTATGGTCAACGTCTTTTATACTATATCTTTTTTTTTTTTTTTTTTATAATTAAATGAAAAATTATATTGCATTAATAAACTTTACATTATACTTCGTATATACTAATTAGTGAAGATAACACAATGCTATAAGTTTTTTGTTTTGTTTTTTTTTAATAAAACATAATGCTCTTATTTAGATGAGGGATATAATAGTTGACTTTTAGTTTTAATTAGTTAGGAATTATGTGCTTTGGTGACGATTTAAATTATATTGTAGACATGTAATGGCTAAAAGTAATATTGGTAAGAATATTCGATTAAATGAAAAATAAATAGCAATGAAAGCTTGAAAAATCATATATTTCTAAAAATTAACCAAAAGTAAATTAAATAAAAAAAACTATTCTTAACCCGTTGGGTTGACCCAAACCCGAAACTTTGGGTTAGGGTTGAGCATTTCTTTACCCGTGACCTGAATTGACTGGCCCGAACCCGACCTGACCCCCTCTCTCTCTCTCTCTCTCTCTCTCTCTCTCTCTCTCTCTCTCTGAGAATCAAATCGTTGGTTTGACCGACAAACTACGTGGGAAAATCTCTCTCTCTCTCTCTCTCTCTCTCCTTAGCATATATTCAATCACCCTTATGGATCTTTGGATCCATTCAATTGAGTGTAGTAATAGATTATCTAGATCAATTGCATTTCTTTTGGCTTGAAATTGGATTTTTATATTGAGATTTACTACTTAATCATTGGTTAATCAACATAGGTAGTTATTGTAACTTTTGGGTCACAATACTAGGTCTTTATTCATTAATAGCATTGGATATTGAATATACGGTAATTTTCAATCTGAAATTTTTTGGATATTTGATATCTTAAGTTTTGGGATTGGATTTAGATATTAAAGAATATAATTATCGGATATCTGAATTATGCTCTACCTGAAGTGACCATCTTCACTTTGACCGTGTGATGCTACCTGTTTCTTTCCTTAATAGTTGCCCATAAAATGCTGAGATATCACTGTACCCTGGGAAATCTCTGTTTACTTCGTTTTGCTGCTTTCTTTTTGTCAAATTTAAATGATCTTAAGAAATCAATATTGGGAAAATGTTCACCTAGTGGATACTTGCTTTTTGAACTGTTCGGATCTTTCTTAAAAATAATAAAGTTGAAATAAAATGTAGTGATTTTTATCATTTTAACTTACATCAATGTAATATATTTTGTCAGGGAGTTTGTTTTATGATCAGAGTTCTGCAGATGATTCGGTTGCCCAATATAAAGGTGCAAATAATTCTCTCCTATTACATTTTATCTACATATGGAAGCATACTACCCTGACCAAATTTCTAGTTTATCCACAGGTTGCAACAGCGCTATTGTGTTGCGCGTTCTTATATGATATCTTTTGGGTCTTCATATCAAAAAGTATATTCCAGCAAAGCGTCATGGTTGTGGTGAGATTTTTCATTACATGCTTAGGACTTCTGTGCTATTTTTTTTTTTTTTGCTTGATCATGCATCTGACTTCTCTTGATCAATGGTATCTTCTATCTTGTATTGCCTACCATACTTAGTTTGTTTAGTGTCCAAAATTAATCTTTGATAGTTTCATCCTATACATATAGAAAAGAGAGGTGTAGAATCCTGTCATGATAATCATCTCAATTTGTTTTACTCGTAGATTAGTCTCTTGATTGTTGTACATTGGAGTAACCTCTAATTATATAAGTCCTCCTTCTAACATTGTTGCATGGTATTTAGTTTTATTCAATACATGGTATGGGAAGGGAATCATGGGACATTTTGCACTATAAATTTGGTACTCTAGGTTTGTATTTATATGTAAGCTCTCTATTGAGCAGAAAAAAATAGTTAGAGATAGGTTCCTAACACCTAGCCCACAAAATTACAATGACTATTGGAGATGATGAGGTTTCCAGAAGGGAAAATAATTCGCTGGTTTCTAGGTTCCATCGGAGAAAAGAGCTAAGTCTCATTTTGCCTGAAAGATATTGTTGAAGAGCAATTTTATCATCTTATGGTTGCTGGCAAGGCCAATGGAAGTTGTATCTACTTTGGACAGCATAATGGATTATGACCTTATGATTAGGAGTCTTGATATGTTTAACTTAAGTTTGGTAGTTTTAGATTCATGAAAAGACATTTATTTTTGTTAGTTACTCTTAGAGGGTATTTAGGCTTGATTGTTACAATTACAAATAGGAATGCATTGTTTTGGATTTATCAAGGCATCAGTTTGTTTTATCACATGTTTTGCTTATCAGTAAATAAAGAATGATGCAGTTATATTATGTCATTTTGGAAGGCTTTTCTTTAGTTTTAATTTTAATTTCATCATATATTTTATTCTTCATCATTTTGGTAAAATAAAAGTCTAAAAAGTATTATCTGGGATTGATCATGATACACTGATGTTTTAGTCACTTTTCCAGGCTATTACAGATCTTTTTTTCCACAATACATGCACTGACCTCAAGCAGAAAATCGAGGCCTTCATTACACCCATGTGAAGAAGGCTTTATTATTTCTTACTATTTAAAGTGCCCTAATAACCTCCCCTCCTCTCCCACACACAGAAAATGGAACAGAAAAGTATTGGCCTGTACAAATTGTTTTCTTTTTATGAGTAATGGAAACAAATGTCTCTATTCAACTTCCACTAGTTAGAGATAAGGTTATGTTCATGTTAATCAAGGCTTATAATTACAATTTCAACCCCCAAATCGTACATTATGAAGTTCTAGCTTGCAAGTTTGTGGTAGCCCACATAAATCTATGATGGAGTTCTAGTTGCAAGTTTGTGGTAGCCCACCTTCTCTGACTTGTTTTCTTGTTTAGGTCTGGAAATATGTAAACTCTTAATTTCTCTGTTTTGAGTTTCTCATCTGTGTGAAAAATTGTTGGTTAATATTATACATTGCTCGTAACCTCATTTAGCTATCACCCTTGGCTTATTACATAATCTTTAAAAGAGTTACAATGGTAGATACACCTCCAAAGAATTAAAATAATACCAATGAGTGCTTTTGACTTCATTTCATACCTCAATCCTTCTAATAGCTGTATGTATTTTAAATATATTTATTATTGTTGATTCAAATTTTAAGGTTTTGTTATATTACTAATTTCATGCAATTTATAAGGTGCTGAAATTTAAGACACCTTAAATAATATTATCTGTTTAGAAAACACCTAGTTTAAAATTTTATGGTGCTGATATATATAGCTCCTTATAAAATTTAAGCTACTGAACAACTCGTTAATTATGCACCTTATAAATTTCAACTATTACCTTTTCAATCAACTTTGTCTTGGTTCTATTTCAGTTAGTGTTGTCAAATATAGTCTTAGTGTATATGTCATCAGCTACGGTCCAAACCATTTGATCACTGCCACCACTAAGCATTTTGTCCTTATATGACCACTTCCCTTTGCCTTTTTAACTTACCACATTTTGTCTACCCTAGCCACCAACTTCTACCCTGAAAGGATTCACTGGGGAGAGAGAGTACAGATGATACAAGCCTCATTGGGGTTAGATATGTACTTCGTATATTTTGATTGAAAAAAGTTACACATCTATAGGAAATTTCTCATTGGATCTCTTATATCAATTGAGAATACCTCCCTTGTGAGTAACAACTACTTATGTGAAAACAATTCTTAACTCTTGATATTTATGATCTGACAGTCCAATTTATACAACTTGTGGTATAAATTGCTCATTCCACGGTTTGACTCACTGTTTGTCCCTCCCATTTTCTCTTCAAATCAACTACTCAAGATATCTGTGGCAGCCAAACTGCCAAAGGGACGAATGATGAATTTAGAGGCTGGAGAGCCCAATAGACAACCAACCTCTCTCTCTCTCTCACACCTTTCTACTGCTGGAAAAGGCAAATGCCCCTGCTACTCTACATGAGTTTGTGTCGATGTTATACTGTGATATTGGTGGATGGATTATGTGTTACCATGTCTGTTCTTTCTTTTTGTACACACATACGAAAAGAAATTATTGTCCATAATTTTTGAACTGAATATGCAAATTGTTTAAGTACTGAACGTGCATGTATCTCAAATTACTCTCATGCAATTCCATTCTCATATACGGTGGTATTCTCACTGCTACCAACCCTTTTTTTTTTTTTTGATTTCTATCTTCATTTTTTGTGTCTTTTTTATTTGAGCTGAAGACTCCCCTATGTGCATTTTTTATTTATCTCTAGGTTGCCAGTGGTCAAAATAGCGGCGGCGAAAATCTCCCTATGCTTTTGAGAATCCCTCGCTTTAATGATCCATTTAATGGTTATAATTTGCTTGGCTTTGGAGACATTCTTGTTCCTGGTTTACTTGTCTCATTTTGCTACAGGTATTATTATCTTGCTCAAAATTGTTTGGTTTAGTGCTTCTTTTACTTGATTGAAGGCTCTATGGAGAGACAATTGCTATTGTGAAGTCGTGAAGATTAACTGTTTACATTTCTTTGTTTGAAGCGTAGTAATAAGGTTAAAATACATATGTTTCTTCCTTCTAGATTAATTCAGCTATCTTACTTCGCTGAAAACAGATTCGACAAGGCACATAAGAAGGGCTTAATCAATGGATATTTTTTCTGGTTGGTGATTGGTTATGGTGTTGGTAAGTAGCAATTAAATGTTCTTATTCAGGCTTCTGTTGAACTTCACTCTAAATGGTTTGATTCTAGCTAATTTTATTAATATGCATGTGACTATTGCTTATAAAAATAATTAGCGCATTGAAACCTGAATATTCTTGTTGCCCACCCGCATAAAAAAAGAAGGAAAAATTTTAACATGCCTGTAACTATGCTTATAAAAATAATTAGCGCATTGAAACCTGAATATTCTTGTTGCCCACCCTTTTTTTAAAAAAAAAGGAAGGAAAAATTCTAACCGAAATGGAAATTAAAGCAACAAGAAACAAATTACGAGCTCCCAAGTGCAGCCTCTTGGGTGGCCTCTCTTACTATTGGGGTTTAGGGCCTTTAGGTCCCTTCCCCCACCCCTGAAGAAAGAATGCTTGGAGACTACAACAGTGGGGCCGCTGTATCTCATCAAATGGATTGTTATGCCATGAAAGTTCATGATTCTTGCACTTCATAAATATTTATTTTTTTGTTAAATCCTTTGCAGGGCTCATCTTCACATACATAGCTTTGTCCCTGATGGAACAGGGTCAACCTGCGCTGTTGTATCTCGTACCTTGTACATTAGGTAAAAATATGTCAATAATAGTACACTGCCTACCCTTTTATGCCTCTTGTTAAGCATATCATCCTAATGTCCATGAGTAATCTGTTGTACAGGCCCGGCAGTTATATTGGGTTTCTTCAGAGGTGAGCTGAAAGATCTTTGGAATCGTGAATCTGAATCAGAATCAGATGGACAACAATCTGCTGAAGTGTGAAAGGCCAGTAATTAGCCAAAATTGTATTTCAACACTGGTCGATATATGTAGGCTACTCATGATCGATTATTGTGCATAATCTTTTCTGCTTTATTATGTTTAATTTTGGGAGGGATACCATACAGTTGGTGTATTGTTATGTTGTACAAAATGTATAATTCACGATATAGGACTAAAAAAAGTATAGAAAAAAATGTTAGGCAGCGCATCAGAGAGCGCAAAATTACTTCATTCTATATTTGTTCGCTCTGTTCTAGGACTATGATCAATACAGCAGCAATAGTACTGTCCATTTCTGCTTCTATGACATGACTCCTTCCCCCACCCCACCCGAGCATTTCTCAAGCTCTAGTACCTTTACTCCTTATGGACTCAAAGAATTGCTTTTTGGTAATTTTCTTGTTAATTGAAGAGAAAGAGAAAAGCAGTGGGCCCCCCTCCTGCACATTGTCTGATTGTGTTAAAAAATGAATTTTAATAAATAAAAGAAAAGGGTAAATGAAAGGCAATTGTAAAGTAAAAAAAAATATGGGATTGCTAGAGGAGAGAGAAAACATAAGAGTATTGTAGAGTAAAAGGTCGATGAAAATTGCGAATGTATGAAGGTGGTGATTAAAAAGGTTGCGAACACCAGTTTGCGATTTGAGCTCCGGCGATTTCGAAGAGTAATCCCGCTGTGTTGGGTGACTTACTATGCTCATCCAACGAATGTCGGGAGGAGTTCACAAGTTAGTAGAGGCATGGGATAAAGGGCAAGGGAAATGATTTACCTCAATACAGTGTAATTTGTAAATATTTTTGTGGTTGAAAAAACATGTGTAGGTGATGATGGTAGTAGGTGATGCTAGTACTTTACGTTTAGGCACTATCTTTTGCTATTTCAGTGGTACTATTTCAGTCCATGTTGGTATACCATAATATGGTTTGATGATTTTGTTAGTATGTATGTCAAACCTTGGGTACATACCAATAGAGTGGCTATTGGTTTGCACTTTGACTATAGGTATATCACACTTTTGTAAACTATTTTATCGTACAAAGTAAATTATATTTTCCTATTAAGGAATTATTATTATTATATGCATGTTCATACATTACAACAGCTGCATCATTATATTAGGATGCAAAATATTTGTCATAAGGATGTTGAGGCTCCATCTGTAGGATCGACAAGGCCTTTTGCTTTTATACGAAACATACATCGACGTCCTACTAGGTTGACATCGCGGCAAGTAGTATTTCCCCAAAATCTATCATACTTATTACTAATTACACCGCATTGACAACGATCTATTTCTATTTCATCATAAACTTCATTGACAACTACGAAAGCAATGTCATAAGTTGATGCAATCCCCTTTACTCTCTTTACCCACAATCCAAAGCCATTAGCAGTGTTTGACAGTTGTGTTCAATTGTGCTAATATTAGTTCACCCTGCTACGATTTTTTAACGTGTTGGTAGTACTACAAAGATCATTTTATACCATGAAAAACTTAGTTGGTATATCAATGAGTTGCTGGTATATATAGTTGAATGATAATATGATATACACCATCGACCAAGTTAATGGTATGTAAATATATACCAACAAAGGTCGTTTAGTTTCCTACTCTTTAAGATACTCTAATGTAACATGACCCCTGCAACATGAGTTAATAATATGTTGTCGAGGAGGAGCAATATGAAATGAAAGCAGTTCATTATTAAATAACTAGTGTATCCATACCAACTCAAATATAATTGTCCCACTTCTAAATCAAACTACCACACTATAATGAGGATAACAACGTTGTTGGAGTTATTCCAGAAAATCTATTACCCATATTCGACCCCAAGCTAGCATACCAACTAGAGCAGATTCTTTTATATGCTATACCAACAAAGATAAGCCCTATCTTCATCGATTCATTCACTAATACTATCTATGTTATGAAATTGTCTACGTTAGCCACTGGTGTATTATGTTATTAACGACAAAAGACATCTTCGTTTCCATATAATTAGAGTAACAGCTTCTTTGGCATCATCCCGTAACGATGCACCAATTATAACCCGGGGAACAAAAGTTGCTTGTTGGAATACCTGAGGGATGAACCGGCCATTCTTCGTATGTCACCTGTACGCAATCCATAACAAACTTCACCCTACGGTTTTCATAATAACTAAGGTCACAATCCGTTGAGAGGATCTAATGCTCATAAGTATATTCATGCATCCCTTACAGTTTGAGTACGAGATCTACGGACCCGAAGGTTGTCCCGGGGGTGTTGTCATTTTATTATATAAGACAACTAGAAGGCATGTAGGCGCAGAAATTCCCTCCAAAATATTTGGTCAAAACTTGTGTTGGTATGACAACATGTGTTGTTGGTACTTCATTGGCAACCACCCAGTCACAATAACTGAAAATATGGTTTTGGGTAGTATGTAATTTATGCAAAGGTCTGAAGGGTTCGTTCTTTTACAACACACACAATTATAGACAAACACATCTGTAGTATCAGTTTTTACGAATTACGATTTAACTAAAACGTAAATTTGCGCGTTCGATAGTAATTCATACATGGATATGCATTAGACACTAATTCCAGTTTTGAAATTTAAAGGAGGAGTTCGAATTTAAAAAACTTTAATTGACTGAAACTGATATTGGTAACATTCATTGAAATTTACCTCAACATAATTTGTTTTTGGATATTATACTATTAACAATTGAATTAGAATATACCTACAGAAGCAACAAATGGTCATGTTACTGTGATATACCATCAAAGGATATATTGGTATTCACATCATGTACCATTTCAAGTTAAACTAGTATTATTAGATATACCATTTTAGAATACGTTGGTAGTAATAAAACATACCAGCATATTTACTGTTGGTGTTATTATGACATACAATCAACAATATTCTTGATTTTAATATAAACTAAAACGTCATAACCTGTTATGATTAAAAATAAGACATACATTATCCAAACTACTAAATTACTACACGGTCCAACAACATTTAACAAGCTAAGTAAATATCAGCCATGTTACCATATATAGCCGGAGAAGTCATCGAGTCCCATGTTTGGAACATGTCCAGCCATAAAGAATTGTGCTCTTGGATCACCGTAATGGACTTGGATGAGGCACCAAGGGGACATTCCTCGATGGAGTCACACACACTCCTTCATCACCTTCCTGTGCAATCTGATTTAAGTCAATCCCATCACCCCCTACATGATTCATGTCATTACCATCACCCCGTACATGATTTCTATCTATACCATCACCTCCTACATGATTTAAGTCTATACCATCACCCCCTACATGATCACAAACATCACTTTCTCCCGAACTTTCATCATTTGAACATGACTACCAATTTGCTCTACAACTCGATCCATGGCCGTCCCCTGAACATCAACATAATTTCCCTAGACAATTTTACTATACAATTAACTCACAATATTAATCATCACAGCATATAGCAAGTCTAATACTGTGTTCTAAACAACAACAATTTCACTTTCACATACACCTTGTATAAACATCTTAACAATCATAAATAGAATATCAGAACGAAACAATTCAGTTCACAAATGGTATTATTAGCGAATACCAACTAATCAGTAATTGGCACAAATTGTATTAATATCAAATACGAACTAATCAGTAATTGGTATATAATGCTACACATTTAATCAATTAAATCACTAATTGGTATGATTCTCAATTTCATACTAGAGTAGAACATCCTCTACAATTATACAGGTGCGCTAGATGCTATATACTTCATTAAGTATACAATTTCAAAATCCAACCTAATATATCACTACCATTAATTCCGCAATACAAATTAACACTAATTATTGCTATTCATTCCAACAATTGCTATTCAACAACACTACTAATTAATGCTCATAATTTTACTCAATAATCCAACTACTTACATCAACAATTTCGACCTTATAATTGGTATTCAACAACACTACTAATTAATGCTTATACTCACTGAGCATCTTCATTCAACTGTAGCTACCACACAAGTATTTCACCTTCTAAATCTGAGAAAATTAAATCCAAAGAGAGCAAATTCAATTTTGGTTCTCAAATTAAATTTAAAAAACTCACAACAATGACTTATAAGGAATTCAATGGTAAAAGAAATTATTATGGTGATTTTTATTGTTTGCAAAAAAAAAAAAAAAAAAAAAAAAAAAAAAAAAAATTCAGAATCAAAAAACTTGTGAATTTGGGGAAAAGATTGAGAAAACTCGAGCTACAAAATTGTTTTTGGCAGAAGAAACAACAACTTCAGGGACAAAGTATGACACAAGGGACCACATTATTGTCTTTTTTTTTTGTTAGATTTCCTTTTTTTTTTTAAAAGCCAAGTCATTGAAAATGCTGATCAAGGTGGGGCCCACTGTTTACTAGAGGCCTCTAGGACAAAATTTCCTAGAGCTTGAGCATTTCTCCCCCCAACCCCCCAACAATCAAGCCAAACATACTTGCGTCATTTACTACACGCTGCACACGAGACCAGCTAGCAGTTTATCCACCCTTGCAAAACGAAGCACATCACTAAAAATTACACAAAACAGTTACCACACTGCATCTGAGACCAGCTAGCAATTCACCTACCTTTGTAAACGACATACATCCTAAAATTAAACATAACAGTTATTACATGGTGCTTCAGATACTAGCTAGCAATTTATCTAGCTTTGTAAAAACAACGCACATAACTAAAATTGAACAAAAACGACTTCTATAAATCTTCATTACTGATATGTTCATTTTATATATGTTTTACCCCCGTCCCTTGGTTATATTTAGGAGTATTTTTGGCTCTTCAGAGCCACTTTTATTACTAATAGGCGTTTTATAGTGTTTTCGTAGATTTGGTACTGTTTTATAGGAAATTGCAGATTTGGAGCATTTTCCAGGACTTATGGGAGCCACTACGAGCATTAGAGATATATGACCATTTTTCCGTAGCCCAAGACCGGTTAGAGTTATCAAATCGGTGATTAAGGGCTCGAGCAAAGAAGAGACCAAGGCATTGGACCGAGCTACAAAGGCCCCAAAGAGGTAATCGGATTGGGCCAAGAAAATGGCCCAATCAAAGATGATCCCTTGCCCGAGAGCTCGCCCGACCGGGTAGTGGCCTCGCCCTAAGGCGCGCCCGGTCGGGCGAGGAAGAAAGAAGAAGAACGCTTCGCCCTGTCTCGCGCCCAACCGGGCATGAGCGAGACTCCACTCAAGCAAAAAGGCAGGCCCGGCTAGGCGAATTTGCCCGACCGGGTGCGTGATTCTGAACAGGATTTCGAAGATTTTTTACTTTGTTTTTAATTAGGATTTTATTTTATTTTATTTTATTTATTTATTTATTTATTTATTTATTTTTAGCTTAAGTAAGAAAACGTTTTGTTAAGTTAGATACGGGTACCTCTTCTCATTAGTTAATTTCTCAGATTTAGCTTTAGGCTTTGGATTATTACTATTGTTCTCTCTCCACACTTTTGGCTTATGCAATTCATTATTTCCATTTACTTTGGTAACAATTTCTTCCCCTTTTATTTTTAGTAATTTAATTGCTTTGCTTGATCATGTCTTGTTTATTTGCTTTGCTTAGTTTAAAATTTAATTATGTGTGAGTAGATTTATTTCTAGGGTTGTGTGGATCCATAAATAATATGAAAGGGTGAATTATTATTGTTGATTTTCAATGCTTTGATTGATTCCTATTGATTGATTTAATGCTATGAAATTAAATTAGGCCTGGTTTAATTGTATGAGTTTTGCAATATTGATTTGAGAGATGAGAATTAATGTTTAGGCTTAGTTTCAATAGGTAGGTTAATTTATAAATGGTTAAGTCAAGATTCGAGAGATGCGTTTTAATACCGGTAGATTAATTATGTGATTGTAATAAGTAGCGAAAGCCCTCTATGATCTGATTAATTGATGCATTAATGATTGATTACTATGTTTATTTTACCTTAGAATATTATTTATTGATGAACCTTTACCCTAGGCTTTGTTTTGTTGTTATTCTAATAATTCTTAACCGTGTTAATTTAATTAGTTCCTTTAGTTTAATTCCCCCAAAAAATAAATTAGTTACTTAATAGTTTAGATTATATTAATTAATTAGGAATAGAAACACTTGTTTCCCTGTGGATTCGACCCTATTTCCCTATCTGCTTTAGTTAGAGGACTTAGGTAATTCTTTTGATTAGGAGATACGGCTTTATCTTGTCAATTACTCAGGAAATTTAATTCTCACAATTTCTCCCTCGTCATTTTCCACTTCTAAACCTCTAAATGTCACTCTCATTCTCTGCTATTGATATGTTTAATTTATTTGAATTTTCTTAAAAAAAATATTTATGTGACCTATTTCAATCAATAAGGAGCCTCCAAAACCCCAATTTAGCTTTCTCATTCACCTCACCTAAAAAACTACTCCCTCCTTTTTCTCCAACAAAAACACCCAAAATAAAAACAATAACACATTGCTATTTTATTTATTTATTTATTTATTTTTTTATTTATTTTTTTGGTTTGTTTAATAATACCAATAACAACCATCTTTTTTTTTTCGGTACTTATTTTGTTATATTATCCAATAATTTTCTTTTTAGAATCTTCAAATTGGAAGGATTTTATATTAGAATTGCACAAGTTTTTCTAACTTTTTTGCACAACACTTAAAGACTCCAATCTTTAAATTATGTGCGCTTAATTTTTTTTTTTCTCTTAAAAAATAGTATATAGCCCCCACAAGTTCCAGTATTTTCCTTTAAAAAAATCTTCCAACATTTTTTATTATTATTATTATTTTTAATATTGTACAAAATTTATTCAATAACTACCTTATTAAATATTCAATAATCATCAAAACAAAAAAATATACAACATGCTTTTTGAACGACTAGCCTCACCGTGTGGCAGTTTGCAAAGTAACCTCTATAGCAATGACGGAGTAATCCCTATAACATTGACCATATAACCCTATAACACTGAACAGGTAACCTCAATATATTTGACAAAGTGAGAAATTATTATATACACCCAAGTACACCGTACACCCATGAAATTTTGTTCTCATTTTGATGATTATTTTTCATTTAATCATCAAATGAAGAGCAAAAACTACATTTAGTTGGTTGGGTGTATGGTGCACTCAGATGTATATAACAAATTCTAGACAAAGTAACCCCCATAATAGCTGGGGCCACAATGTGTGACCATCCACATATAAGAGTAAGTTATTATATTAAAATCAACCCGCATTTGAAATATATTTTTCTTATATTATATTAAAATCAACCCGCATTTGAAATACTTCGTATATTTTACTTATATTATATATATATATATATATATATATATATATATATATATATATATATATATATATATATATATATATATATCCCGTGCATTTTGCACGGATACACTCTAGTAGGGAGAAATTAGAAGATTTACCTCTAATTTGAATAGTTAAAATATTCTAAATTATGGAATAGAATTAAATAAATAAGTTTAATGAATGATGAAACAACTGGAAAATGAAGATGTTTAAGGAAAAAAAAACTTTTGAAAACGAATATAATAATAAATCATTTTAAAAATAATTTAACATCTATTACAACATGACAACATGTTGATCTACAATGAGTGTATTATTAATCTTCTATAATCTAATATAGTAATAATAATCTTTTATCATCTACCATGAGAATATAATAATATAAATTCGTATTTTATATGGGAAATTTGTAATGGTCAATACTATATATAATACTAAATACCATGTATTTTTCTTATTTTCTTTGTTGTAATATTTTTTATTTAAAGGCTTAAGTATTGGAAAAATTGAAACTAATAATCCCACCTTTGGCTCATCTTCTCAAAACAATCCCATCTTTGCGTATTCTGGAAATAATCCCATCTTTAACACCCATCTTCTCAAAACGATCCTTTTTACCTTTAATCGGTTTTACAAGTTAGATTATTATTATTATTATTATTATTATTATTATTATTATTATTATTATTATCATTATCATTATTATTATTATTATTATTATTATTATTATTATTATTATTTATTTATTATTTATTTATTAAAAAAATCCCTATTCTCCCACTCCATTAAGGCTAAAGTCGTATCACCTAATCAAAAGTAATTCCTAAAACCACTAACTAAAATAGATATAGAAGTAGGGTCGAATTTACAGGGGAAACAATGTTCTTTTATTCGTAATAAATTATTATAATCTAAATTATTAAGAAACAAGTGAGAATTGTGAGAATTATACTATAACAATAATTAAACTAAAGGAATAATCAATAATAAAAGGCCTAGGGTCATAGGTTCACCAATAATTAATATTCCGGGATAAAATATAACAATCAGTTATCAATGCATAAATTAACCAGATTATAAAGGGTTTTCGCTACGTAAGCCCTTTATAATCACATAATTAACTTAGCGGTATTAAATCGCATCTCTCGAATCTTGATTTAACCATTTATAAATTAACATGCTTATTGAAACTAAGCCTAAACATCAATCCTCATCTGCCGAATCTCGAATCAATATTGCATAACTCATACAATTAGACCTGCGCAAATCTAATTGCATAGCATTATAACAATCAATAGGAAATTAACCCAAAACATTAACAATCAACAATAATAAATCATCCCTTTATATTAATCATGGATCCCAAAAACCCTAGAATTAAACTACTCACACATAATTAAAACTAAACTAATCAAAACAATTAAATAAAGCATAATTATAATAAGATGAATTAATAATAAAATAAACTAAATTAAAAACAATCAACGGAAAAACGTAAAGCACAACTCAATTATTACCCAACGAAGTAATTAATAAAACTAAAACATGAAGACCAAAACTAAAATGCTCCAAACTACTTAATGAAAGCTAATTATAACATTCTAAAATTGAATTGCTAAACAACACTCCCATTTTACAGGACATCGCTCCTTTTTTGACATGGAAAGACGATATTGCCCTTTGTGTAAGTTGTAGTATATAATGGTATAATATCATTTACGACCCCTCCACTTACTACCACGTGGTAAAAAAATTCCTGACCTCACCACATTCGATCCAACACCAAATATCCGAATTTTTTTAAAAAAAATTTATTAAGCTTTAGCGATGGATTTAGGACGATGAACGACGACAACGATCGTACACCGGAGGCATCGTTGGAGAATAAGTCCTCATACTTTTTTTTTTTGAAATAAAAACATCCGCCTAAAGGTGGATCTGCTTAAAATTTCCGGATCTTCCTAGGTGGATCCAGAAATTTTAAGCGGATCCACCTAGGTGGATTCGGAAATTCTGAGCGGATCATTTTTTTTCTTTTTTGATTTTTTTTAATTGATTAGTTAATCAAATTTATTGATGTAATCTTTGTATTATTATTATTATAATTTTTATTGTGATTATTATTAATTTCGTGATAAATTGAGTAATTAGTATTATTATTGTTGTTATGATCAATGTTGTAATTATTTGCTTATGTTGTTTGCTCATTTAATCTCTCTAAAAAAATAATCAAATTAAGTAAAATTTGACAAAAAAAATTAAAAAAAAAGGGTAGAGTTCCGCCTGAAAATTCCGGAAGCACCAAAGAGGATTCGGAATTTTCAGGCGGATCCACCACCGAACATCCGAAAATTTAAGGCGGATGGGTAGAGCCGCCTGAAAATTTCGGATCCTCCTTGATACTTCCGGAATTTTCAGGCGGAACTCTAATTTTTTTTTTTTTTTCCAAATTTTACATAATTTGATTTTTTTTAGAGAGAAGAAATGAGAGTGAGGTGAGTTGTGATTTCAGAATTGAGTGTTGTGAGTGTCGTGAGTATTTAGGGGTAAATACGGAAGTTTATATAAAAAATGCGAGCGATACCTAGTAAAATGAAAGCGACGAACAACCCCCTTCTTTTTTTTTTTCTTTTTTTTTTTTTTTTTGTGTTTTATTTATGCAAAGAGAACGTGTGTAAAGAAATTGAAGCCAAAACATTGACAAATGCCATGCATGCATTCATGCAACTAAGTGCCTCATCACTTGCATGACTGCCAACAGTATGTTGTATCCTATCAGTCATCACGTGTCCAAGTACGTTTTTTTATTTTTTATTTTATTTATTTTTGGTTTTATTTATGCTTTTTGTTATTTGCCAGCTATGTTGTATCTCATCATGTATCGACCTTCTTCCACACGTCACATCACCACCTCCTATTATTTTTCTTTTTGATGATAATTCTCACTTCTCTTTCCTATTTTCTGTCTCATCCATAAACAATACTACAAAAAATACAATGTATGACCCATATTTATCACTTTATATTGTCTTTTATTTTGTCGTTAATAACACATCAACTTGAAATTAATTTGATTTTACCTTTTAACTTTATTACTCTAGATAATAATGAATGAAATTAAGAAGAGTATATTCAACTTATCTTACAATTAAATTGTTAAAGCAAAAATAATTAAACTTGCATAAGCACAAATCATGGAACTTCTGAGTATTCATTTTTTTTTCCTGCCAAATATTTTAATTCCTACATTGTATCATTTTATTTATGTAGGAGGGATCCTTGTGTACCGAAGGCTATCACCACAGAAATTCTATAATTGAATATTTTAGAGATCCAGTTGTTGTAGGTAAGTTTTTAGTTTTATTTTCCGTTGTTATATTTATAATATTGTTTTGGATTATAGCTATGGAAATAATTTATATTCTCCATGGATATTCGTTACTTATAAGCATGCTCATATATTTTAGGAGTTGTAAATTGTTTATTAGTACTGATATATAATCTATATTTATAATTTTTGTTCTTACTTGAAAGATGGAAAAACAAATAAAATGAGTAGTAATGAAAAAGTAGGACAAGTTTTGTGATATATTTTTCTTTCCGTCTAAAATATTTATGTAATTAATTTTTATGAAAAATGAACATATACTATGATTTCTCATCGTGAGGAAAAAAAATGTTAAGTTCATTACATTTTAAGATAGAATTATGTATAGATTGCAATTTGTTAATGTCACCTACCTTTGTTTTTTTTTTAAAATTTTTTTGGCTTATTGAGTATCAACTTAATAATTCCCTAATATATATTTTTGAGGATAAATGATTAATTTGAAAATGTACCTTCGCAAATATATTTTATCATCCAACAAGAGGTGTACCTAGGCCTTTAAGACGAATACATCGAGTAACTATTGTAATCTTCAAATCTGAAGCGATAATTCCCTGTGAAAAAAAAAATAGAATTTAGATTATGATTTATGTTGTATGCAATATAGAAAGACATATAATAGAAGAAATAGACGAAAAAAAAAAATGATAGAAGGTAAAAATGTATGGAAAGAATAAGGAAGCTAACTATTATTTATTTTACTCCGCAATGACATTCTACATGAGACACGCATGCTCATATGTGAATCTCCTTTAAAAATTGAGTTTATACCAACATCTTAACCATTGTAAACCATTAAATAAATTATTATAATATATAACAACACTAAAGTATATAAACACTTACAATATAAAATTTGTATTAAAAATCAGCGTATACTTAAATAAAATAAAATAAAAATAATATACTCTGGGCAATAATAAAGATGACCTGGGTCGCTATTACCAAAGCTTCTAAGCTGAAATGACACCTTTTATCAGCCAATTCATCAAATCTATCAACAATTTCCCCCAATTTTTTACCCAAACAAGAGAGTTTGTACCTTTCTCTTCTTTTCCTTCTATTTGCTTCTGTCCAAACAAAGTATAAAGGTCTAGAACTTCTACATAATATTCAGTTATAATTGGAAATCTACAGTAACATTTTCATATAAAAAAGGCAATAAAGGAAAAAGCACAAACATATGGAAATAGAAGGAATTTAACAATACCTGAGCTGTATCATTGCCATTCTTGAGCTTTTCCTGCACTCTCTTATGGATGAACTCCAAATGGGCATTTGGGAGAATATTACTTGACAATTATTATAATTAACTATCGTCGAGTTTCAGTTGAGCCTACATTCTCAAATCTAAGTCCACAATTCCATTAAATTACCACAAAAAAACCATGGCCTACGAAAGCTTAGAAATTAAGTTAAATAAATAAAATTAAAATTAAAATTTACTCCTAATAATAGTAAACTACCCAATTTGTGGTTCGCAATACACATTCTTGCAACTAGTACTACCACCTTCCGAAATAACATCTAAAATATTGTAAATCATTTTTTGGCTTTACTTTTGTTATCTTTGAATTTGGCTTTTTTTTAATTATTTTTTTTGTGGTAGATTTTTATATAGAAATGGTAATTTTATAAGTATGGTTGTTTGAATGATTTCGGAAAGGTGGTGGGTTTCTTAAATGAAAGAAATTAAACAAAAAATAAGGTTTAAAGGAAAATATAGGTGCCTAGGTTGACAGAAGAAAGGAAAATAGGAAACGGAAAGATGAACAAAAAGAAAGGTCTATGACATATTAAAATATATTTTAAAATTAATTCTACAACTACATTATAAAGAAAGTATGTATACTCATATATCTACAATGTATTTGACACGATGATACCTCATTATTTGCCAAGTAAATAAACAAAGTCAAATGAGTAGATGCATTGGCCAATGCTAAAGGTGGGCATCGTGTCGTGCCGTGCCGCCGTGGGCCGTGCCTAGCGGGCCACGGTCAACGGCGTGTCGTGCCGGTCGTGCCGGCGTGCCCAAAACTTCGTGCCGTGCCGTGCCGGACATTTTCACAGGCCAGCCCACGGCCTGGCACAGCCCTCGTGCATTGCGAGCTCGTGCCGTGCCTGCCACGTGCCGGCCTGGCGGGCTGGGCAGTTTCCAGATTTTTTTTTTAATAAGTTATAAAATTATAACTTATATTATAATGTATATAACTTATAAAAATATAAAATTATAATTATAATTTATAAGTTATAAAATTATAATTATAACTTATAAGTTATAAAATTATAATTATAAGTTTTATAAGTTATAAGTTATAAAATTATAAGGTATAAAATAAATTAAATTATGATCTGAATAAGATTATCAAATAAAGATAAAAGAATAAGATTATGATCTGAATAAGTACGAGGAAGATGAATTACCTGAGAGTTAGGATAGGTGTTCAACCAACTGGGATTCCCAAGCGCCCTGTCCAATCGTTCCCGAATTAAGTCATCTCCTTCTCTAGCATTGTGCCAAGTGAAAGGATTACCAGAGAAACCAAGATCCACCAAGCATGCAACATCAGCTATTTAAATCAGTACATTGAGATTGTCTAAATCTCAGCCCTCCTGATTTCTCAGAAGGACCAATAACTTCATTTAAATCCCCTAAAAATAAACATGGAGTATCATCAGGAGGGAGGGAAGCCTGAAGATCGTTTTAAAGTTTGTGACGTTCAGAAGTAGAAGAAAGGGCATGCACGGCTGTAAGGAGAACATCCTTGGCCTCCGGACTAAACTTAGAAATAGCATGGAAATAATTCCTAGTATGGCCTTCCAGAAAATCAATTAGCTCGACCGATTACTTATAGAGAAGCCAAATCCCACCTCGTAGGCCATTAGGATTGATGAACTTGGAATGATCAAAACCGAGAAGTTTAGAGACTTCGGCTGCACGACAACCATCACTCTTAGTTTCCAAAAGGATGAAAACACTTGGCTTGTGAGTCATAATGACATCCCATGCAGGAGGGATAAACTCATTCCTAGTTGCTCCTCTAACATTCCACATAACAATTTTCATATTTAAATCCCCAAAACTTCGTGCCGTGCCGTGTCGGGCATTTTCACAGGCCAGCCCACGGCCTGGCACGGCCCTCGTGCATTGCGAGCTCGTGCCGTGCCTGCCACGTGCCGGCCTGCGTGCTGGCCTGGCGGGCTGGGCAGTTTCCAGATTTTTTTTTTTTTTAATAAGTTATAAAATTATAACTTATATTATAATGTATATAATTTATAAAAATATAAAATTATAATTATAATTTATAAGTTATAAAATTATAATTATAACTTATAAGTTATAAAATTATAATTATAAGTTTTATAAGTTATAAGTTATAAAATTATAAGGTATAAAATAAATTAAGTTGAATATTTATGTTTTATAATTTTGTATATTCAATATTTATATCTATATATTTACTTTATACTATTACTTTAAAATTTAATGTTTATAATTTATTAAATATAATTTTGTATTAGTAATTGCCTAATTGGTAAAATTTTTTATTTTAATATGAATTTACAAATTATAACAAAACGGGGAAAAAGGCAAATTGGTCTTTGGATGTGAATAATGCGTACTTCATATTATTATTACTTGAGTTGAGAAAATTGTACAATGATAAAAATCGTACAATGATGGTATTAAACAAAAATTGGAAAATGATAATATTGATAATGATTAAAATCGTACAATATACAAAAATTGTCTATTCTTCTTGTTGCTCGTCTTCGTCTTCGTCGTCGGCTTCGGCTTCGGCTTCATCGGCTAGTTGGATAGATTGGGAACTAGCCGAACCCGAACGGTCGGAAGCGGAGGTTCCTTCATCGTTGTCGTTGTCCTCGTAAGAACGGTCTTGTGAGCGATTTTCCGCATCCAACCAATCTTTGAAACACACGCACATTTCTAGTGTTTCGAGTTTTAGACTTGTTCTTCTATCGTCCAGAACCCTTCCGGATGCGCTGAAAGCTCGTTCGGAGGCAACAGAGGAGACTTGGATACCAAGAATGTCTCGTGCCATTGCCGCCAAAGTTGGATGCTTCGAGCTTTGTTGTTTCCACCATGCAAGGAGGTCGAGGCTGTTTATCTCATCGTCGTCCATGCCTTTGGTAAAGTCGTAACTCAGGTACATCTGCAACTCCGAGACGTCGCTTTGCGTTCTCCTGATTGATGAATCACCTAAAAACCTTGAAATCAAGTTAGTAGCTTGTGAAAATAAATGTTTGGCCTTCTTACTTATGTTTTTGGATGGTTGGGAAGGCCCTGAGCGAGGAACGGTGCCATATTTGGCTTCATAGACTATATAAATAAAAAAAATGATCCTTCACATAGTCTTATAGTTTTCTACATCATCGTCAAGAAGCATGCATTGAAAGTAAATGTCAACTAACATAAATGTGTTATCATACTTTTGTCTAGGATCTAATATGGAAGCAAAAATATAAATCAAAGGAATTTCACTATAATATTTACGCCACTTTGTTTCCATTGCTGGAAGATACTGATCATAATCACTTTGGTTGCGATGATCAGCGAAAAGTTGGGCGAGTAAACATGCATTAGAAAGAAAGTTTTGAGTACAAGGATTGTAAACAGAAGAAAAATAATACGTCATGTTATATAATAACTGTAAAAATTGCATTTATCTTTCACAGTTATACCAATCATCATCATATAAAGCAGTTTGTGGAAATTTTTGGTTGTAAAATATTGTTAACGGGCCCTTGTACTCAATTGCCTTGGTTAACATGTCGTAGGTGGAATTCCACCTAGTTGGGCAATCGGTTTTGATTTTTATTGCCCTTATCTTTTGTTGTCTTAGAAAACTCTTCCATTCTTGGTACCTCATGTTTGAGCTATTAATAGACATAATAGCATCTCTGATTTTGTTGTAGTATGGGCCAATTGCCCGAACTCCATCCTGTACACATAAGTTAAGTACATGGCAAACACATCTAGTATGAAGAGCATCACCGTCTAATATTACATCGATTAAGTTTTGTTTGACAAGATCAGCTGTGTATGTCATAGAGGTTGCATTGTCAAAAGTCATAGACATCATTTTATCTCGAAGGTTGTATTCGTCTATTGCTTGCATTAAATGGTGAGCAATGTTAATGCCGGTGTGTGGGTATTCCAGCATTTTGAAATGTATTATTCTTTTTTGTAACAACCATTGATCATCTACCCAATGACAAGTCACACATAAATAGTGGTATTTATAACCACTATCCCAAGCATCGGCTGTCAAAGACACCCTACAGTTAAGGTCCCTCAATTCGGCTTGTAATCGCAATTTGTACTCTAGGAAGGTTTTCATGGCGAACTACTTATATTGAATAGGTTACGCAAATAAAAATGACTGTGAATTATTGAATACAGTGAATCTTTTTTTTTTTATTAAATCTTATGATAACACACAACAAGTTCATCTATTTCATCAACATCATTGAGTTCAGTTAAGAAAATAGTCAAAAAATCAGGACCAAAGCTTGTCTCGGTTCTACGTCTGATTTTATTTGACATATTTATATTCTTAAATAACAGAAAAAATAGATAAACAAAAGCAAATGATTGTGAATCTGATTTTATTTGACATATTTATATTCTTAAATAACATAAAAAAAATAGATAAACAAAAGCAGTACATAAGATTTTTAAAAAAAAAAGATTCACTGTATTCAATAATTCACAATCATTTTTATTTTCTTAACGTAACCTATTCAATGATGTTATGACTTTTTATGAGTTCACTTGACAAGAAATGTAGGAAATAGGCATCCTAGTAGTCAAAATGGCCTTACTCGGGCCATTTTGGTTGAAATTGCGTTCCAAAACTCCTTAATTGCTATTTTCTTGTAATTTCAAGCCTTGTCCACCTATAAATAAGTGATAAAGACATTTTATGACTATTTATGAGTTCACTTGACAAGAAATGTAGGAAATAGGCATACTAGTAGTCAAAATGGTCTTACTCAGGCCATTTTGGTTGAAATTGCGTTCTAAAACCCCTTAATTGCTATTTTCTTGTAATTTCAAGCCTTAGTCACCAATAACTAAGTGATAAAGACATCTTATGACTATTTATGAGTTCACTAGACAAGAAATGTAGGAAATAGGCATCCTAGTAGTCAAAATGGCCTTACTCGGCCATTTTGGTTGAAAATGCATTCTAAAACCCCTTAATTGCTATTTTCTTGTAATTTCAAGCCTTGGCCACCTATAAATAAGTAATAAAGACTTGTTATGACTATTTATGAATTCACTTGACAAGAAATGTAGGATATAGGCATCCTAGTAGTCAAAATGGCCTTACTCGGGCCATTTTGGTTGAAATTGCGTTCTAAAACCCCTTAATTGCTATTTTCTTGTAATTTCAAGCCTTGGCCACCTATAAATAAGTAATAAAGACATGTTTTGACTATTTATGAGTTTACTCCTACTAACTTACGTTTTGTGTATGTATTCTAAGTTTTGCAAGGGACAAACGGGAAATCTGTTCACGAGCGAGGAACTCAATGTAATTCGAGACATGTTGGCGCCCTACATCACATTTAATTTGTAAGTATCTTTTGTTTCTGTTTGAACTAGCTTAATGTACAACATTATTACTAATTAATTATGTTTGTTTGTAGTTATGACACATTTTTCTAATTAATATCATATTTTGGGATTGATATCAATATTTATGTCCTTGTTATTATTTTCAATTATTATTATTATTATTAATATATTAATAATACTAATTATTATTAATATTATAATAATAATAATTATTATTATTAATATTAATATTATTATAATAATAATTATTATTATTATTAAAATTAATAATAATAATAATAATAATAATAATAATAATAATAATAATAATAATAATAATTATTATTATTATTATTATTATTAATTCTCGGTATTATGTACATGATCTCATTATTATTATATTTATTAGTATTAATATTAATATATATTATTACCGGAAAAAAAAAAACAAGTCAAAGGCACCGGTTCATGCTTAAAACCGGTGCCTATTACATTGAATTTAATATAAAAAAAAACTGGCGCTATCGCCAAATTTTTGAGGATTTGGCATCCCTCAAATCCCCAACGGTTCAAAACCGGTGCCTTAGGGGGGGTTTGAACCGGTGCCAAATTACCTTTTTCGTCTAGTGACGTCTTTAATTCCTAGTCTAGTCTGTAATGGTCATAAATGTGGAATCTGTGTTGAAGCTAAACATTCCTAGAAACCATTCAAACCTCTTATTAGTAGACAAACTGAATTGCTTGAATTGGTTTATACGGACTTAGCTCACTTTAAGAATGTTGTAAGCAGAGGCGACAAAGGGTATTATATTACCTTTGTTGATGACCATTCTAGATATACCAAAGTGTATTTGTTAAGAACTAAAGATGAGGCGGAAAACATGTTTTAAATTTATAAGGCAGAAGTTGAGAATCAATTGGACCTTAAGATTAAAAGACTTAGGTCAGATAGGGGGGAAAGTATGGAACCACCTTTTTAAAAGGACTTTGTGAGAAAATGGAATTATCCATGAACTTTTTGCTCCCTATACTCCCCAACAAAATGGCATTGCTGAAAGGGAAAATAGAACCCTTAAGGAAATGATGAATGCCATGTTGATTAGTTCTGGTTTACCTGATAATATGTGGGGGGGAGGCCATTCTTTCAGCTACTTATGTGTTGAACAAAGTACCTCATAAAAAACTCGATAAAACTTCCAATGAATTGTGGAAAGGCCATGTGCCTAACCTTAAATATTTGAAAGTGTGGGGGTGTCTTTCTAAAGTTTCTTTACCTTCCTTTAAACGGGAAAATATTGGACCTAAAACCTTTGATGCTATATTTGTTGGTTATGCTGCAAAGAGTGCAGCCTATAGGTTCATGTGCTTAAATGATAAATCTATGTGTGAATCTAGAGATGTTGAATTCTTTGAGCATGTTTTCCCTTTGAAGAAAAGTAATGTATCACATGATGTGACTTTATCTGTTCCTTCATCCTCTTCTATGCCTGTTCCTTCTCCTGTTGTTCAAAATGATGATGTTGTACAACATAGGAAAAGTAAGAGACGTAGAACCGAGACAAGCTTTGGTCCTGATTTTTTGACTATTTTCTTAACTGAACTCAATGATGTTGATGAAATAGATGAACTTGCTGTGTGTTATCATTTGTTTGATGATGACCAGACAAATGATTGTGAATTATTGAATAGCAAACTACTTATATTGAATAACAGAAAAAGTCTTAAAAATAGCAAACTACTTATATTGAATAGGTTACGCAAATAAAAATGATTGTGAATTATTGAATACAGTGAATCTTTTTTTTTTTAAATCTTATGTACTGCTTTTGTTTATCTATTTTTTCTGTTATTTAAGAATATAAATATGTCAAATAAAATCAGAATAAACAATATGAAAAGACCTCCAAAACGTGCATACGTTTTTCCTGTGCCAATGCTTTGTGAGCATTGTGGAGCAAAATTATTCAGAGATGAAACAATTAACCTATGTTGCAACCAAGGGGAGATTCGACTTGCTCCTAACCATATACCAGACAATCTGCGTAACCTATTTATGTCATTAGACAACAACTCTGAAAGTTTCCGCAAATACATTATTCTGTACAATAACATGTTTGCGTTCACATCTTTGGGTGTGAAAAAGACAAAGAATTAGCACAAAGACATCGTGGTATTTACACTTTTAGAGTTCAAGGACAAGTTTATCATTACAGAAATGACGAGCAACCACGATATCTACAACTATATTTCTACGACACAGACGTTGAGTTTCAACTCGGGTATCGAATTTTACAAATCTCAATCCACATGTTATTGGCCAATTAGTGTGATTAATGGAGCTAAATCCGTATGCCCAATTTTTTCGCTCGCTCAAGGATGTTAACATGACTGACACAAGTCACATTATAATCCGATCAGATCCAAATCAAGATCAACGCACTCACAATGCACCTACTTCTTCCCAAGTTGCAGCAATCTAGTTGGAAGATGCAGGTTCATCTGCTCCACTTGAGCGCGATATTATAGTTCGTGCACACTCAGGTGCAAACCATCATATACTACATTACTATGGATGCTATGATCCATTACAGTATCCGATTTTATTTCCTTACGGTCAAATTGGTTGGCATCGACGGATATACAGATATAAAACAAAGTACCAAAAACGACAAGAATGTCCTACGGTTCCGATTAATGAGGTTCTGGTCCAGACTGTTGATGATCTGCTTGAAGCTGAAGAACAAGGTGCAACTATTATATTTAACAATTTATGCGTAAACAAAGTTTCTTTTCATTAACAAAAAACATCACTTTAATTCAATCTTTTGTTTTGTTTTTTTTTATGTAGGAATTCACTCTTCTGTATCTGAAAAAAGGTTTCCTGCAGAGAGTATTACTGCTACCGATTACAGATTCGCATAAAAGATTCTTCCTTTCTTTTGAGATGAGGCCGTTTACTATAGCAGTTCATTGTTGATATGTATATCAGAATTGAAACTTCGCGTTTGGATTTTATTCACCGTAATCAGGATACAATAAGGCATTCTCGACAGTTTGAACACCGGTATCTTGCACGGCTCAAATATTGGACGTGACTTTATTCTCCTTTCGTCGTTTATTGGTGGTCCTCGAGATATGTGGCGAAGATATCTTGACGCAATGGCTTTAGTTCAGTATTACGGCAAACCTGATATTTTCTTAACCATGACTTGCAACCCATCATGGCCTGAAATCACAAACGACTGCTATCAACCGAAGAGGCGCAAAATAGACCTGATCTAATTGCTCGAGTTTTTCATGCAAAATTAGCAGAACTAAAAAAAGATATTGTTCAAAATAAACTGTTTGGCGAGGTTGCAACATATGTTTACGTGATTGAATTTAAAAAGGAGGATTACCACATGCACACTTTCTTATCATTTTAGATTCATTCGCTAAGAGTAGAACTTCAGATCAATTCGATGAACATGTTTGTGCAGAAATACCCGAACAAAAACATAATCCTCATCTTTGTGAAGCTGCCTTAAAGCATATGATGCACGACCCTTGTGGAAATGATAACCCATGAAATGTATGCATGCGAAATGGAAAGTGTAAAATTCATGACCCTCGAAGCGTTTTGGAAACAACATCGATAAGTCACAACTCATATCCTATATATCGGCGACGTGATGATGGAAAAAAACAGTTGGTACGAAAAGTACATCTTGATAATAGGTGGGTAATACCGTATAATCCATATTTACTCACAAAATACGATTGCCATATAAACGTAGAAGTGTGCTCTACAGTAAAAGCAGTTAAACATTTGTATAAGTACATATACAAAGATCATGATTGGGTTGTTTTCGCATTATCTAACCCCGACGACATTAGCATGGTAGGTGACGAGATATCTTCATTTCAGAAAGCAAGATGGATATCACCACTAGAGGCTGCTTGGTGGATTTTCAGAATTCCTCTGAATAACATACACCCACCCGTTGTTTCTCTGCAAGTGCATCTGCCAAATATGCAAACAGTGACATTCTGTGCAAAAGAAAACTTACAGAATATTGCATCCGCTTCAGCCAGCCAACTAACTATACTAACCGCTTTCTTCGAGATCAGTCAAGTTGATGCTTTTCCTCGCATATTACTGTACCAAGAATTCCCTCAGCATTATACATGGCATCCAAAAAAAAGTGAATTTTTTTGGCAACGACGTCGATCGACAGCTGCTGCGATTGGTCGCATTGTACATGCACATCCCTCAGAATGTGAACGCTGTTATTTGTGGCTATTGCTCGCAAACATTTGTGGTCCAACCTCTTTTGATTATTTGCTGACTCAACAACATAAAATATTCTTCATTCCGAGAAGCGGCATTCCAACGAGGTTTAATTGAATTAGATGACTCTATAGACAAGTGCCTACAAGAAGATTGTCAAAGTCAAATGCCGTTTGCCTTGCGACGACTATTTGCTACATTGTTAGTATATTGCAATCCTGAAGACCCTAACTGTTTGTGGGAAAAATATTACCCATATCTTTCTGAAGATTATAACCATAATTTCCCTTCAAACGAAAAAAAGGCTCGTAAACTAACAATAAAAAGCATTTGTTACCTTGTTAAATCGATGGGAAAGTCTTTCAACATTTACAATTTTTGCTTATTAGATCTCGAAGAAGACGACTTTGAAATAGGAATGAAAGAAATTGAAGAAGAGCTTCAGATTCCTATAAGTCCACAAGAAATAAATGCAGTTGAATTACTTAATAATGAACATAAACTTGCATACGAAACAATCTATAACAAAGTGCTGAATAATAAGCCAGCTGCTGTCTTCGTTGACGGCCCTGGTGGTACAGGAAAAACCTTTTTGTATTCTACATTACTTGCTAATGTAAGAGCAAAGGGAATGATTGCTTAAGCAGTTACGAGTTCTAGCATTGCTGCATCGGGTCTGTCTGAGGTAGAACTGCAAATTCTTAATTCAAAATCCCTCTTAATGTTGACGAGATTCCAAGTCCCAGTATTTCCAAACAAAGTGCTCTAGGACAACTCATTCGTCTTGCAAGACTTATTATATGGGATAAGCGCCAATGGCAAGACGTCAAACGATTGAATACTTTGACAAATTGCTACAAGATGTCTGTTTGAATCAATAAAAATTTGGAGGAAAGGTTGTTGTATTTGGTGGTGATTTCTGGCAAGTATTACCTATCGTACTGAAAGGAAGTCTGCGTGAAGTTGTTGCAACGAGTTTTATGATGTCCCCCTTATGGCATGAGCTCCAGAAAATCCACTTAACACAAAACATGAGAGCAATTAATGATCTACCTTTATGTAACTTTGTGTTACAAATCGGAAACAACATGCCTCCTTATGAAGATGGGAAAAGTATAGAGCTACCTAAACCATTCGTCATTCCGTAGGACAATGAACAGTCTTCTCTGCATCTCTTAGTAAATAGTATCTACCCTGTATAGCGAATACGACTTCTGAATCCTTCTTTGCAACAAAGAGAGCTATTTTAACCCCCAAAAACAAACATGCTACAAAAATAATCTCTCTGTTATCCAACAACAGCCACGAAGAGCTTATGAATACAAAAGTTTTGACGGTTGCACAGATGACTCGAGCGAACAATACCTAACTGAATTTCTCAATAGCCTTTGTCCGTCCGGTCTTCCACCTCATCATTTAACTTTGAAGGTAGGCAGTCCAATAATTTTACTTCGAAATATAGACCTGACATCAGGCTTATGAAATGGAACAAGATTAGTATGCAAAGAATTTTTCCTTAATGTTATTAATGCCAAAATTATTGTTAGACATCATTGTGGCCAACGGGTTTTTATACCTCGAATCCCGTTGCAGCCGTCAGCTACAGATAAGTACCCATTTAGATTTACCCGTAAGCAATTTCCAATCAATATGAGTTTTGCAATGACCATCAACAAGTCTTAAGGTCAAACACTTGATAGAGTTGGCATTATTTACCACAACCGGTTTTTTCTCATGGTCAGTTATATGTTGCATTGTCTCGTGCTAAAAAAAGTAAACATGTTCAGATATCGATAAAGCCCACTACGGATGAATCAAATGGATGGAAAAGAACTAAAAATGTTGTATGTTATGAGATTTTAAGGCGCGCTGGAATATTGTAGACCATTTTTAAAGATATGGTACTAGCACAAAGTTAACAAACTTATTTTTCCTTGTACTCTACATTATACAATAATATTGTTATTTTACCGCTTACAATGTTTACTAACAACACATTAACGACAGGTTCAAATCATATTGCAGAACAACACAATGGTTACTCAACGACTTCCCCTTGCTAGACTGACAGACCAGAGCCGAAACTTTATTACAACAGCTACATTAATAAAGAAGCACCCAGCTAAAAAATCTCGCGGCGGCGGGACAAATTTACAGCAGCTTATTTTTGAAGACGCAGAGGTATATTATATACAATTTATATAATATTAATTATCTTAACATATTTAACGATCTTTTAACAATGAAATTTCCAAAAAACACAAATGAAGGTTGTGATCTTTGAACGAGATATTGAGCTATTTCATAATCTTCTTGTTCAAGAGAGAGAATACAACATTACCAACCTATCATAACTCGCACACCTGACATGTTTGTTAGAGAAAACCAGTTGTACAAGATGACGATCAATTCTGCAACAAGAATTTCTAAAACACGACAACAACCTGAACCAAGCTCATACTTTGTCCCCCTTAATCGGGTTATGGATTTTGTTGGCAGATCTGATCGAATGGGTAAATATTACTTATTATTTATTAAAATGTTGTAGTTATTGTAGGTGCATCGTAAATACACATGAATTAATCCACATATAATTAAGTTCTTTGTTTTACATTTTTCTTAGATATCATTGGAATTGCTATTCACATACATGATATAGCAACCACTCGCTCTAAGAGTTCTGGACTGCCTAATGAAGTGCATAGGATTGAGATAATAGATTCCAAGTATGTGTATATATTACAATAATATAAATTGTTTTCCAATACAGAAGTAATTTAACTTAATTATAACTATTCTTATTGAACATTTAATTTCTTCTACTTTTGGCAGCATGGAGCCTGTCAGTGTGGAACAATTTGGTTACTCACGAAGCTCTTGCTGTTGCTGAAATTATAGACACGATTGCCTGTTATAGAAGTTTCTCGCGTCAAAGCATAAACTTTCGACGGTATATGATATAAACAAATATTTATAAAATAAGGATTAATACTGTTTTTTAATCCCAAATTTTACCAATTTAGTTTCATTAATCCCAACTTTGGATTATTCCTCAATAATCCCAACTTTAAGGTGGCCTATCATTCTTCAATCCCAAAATCCGGTTACCAGTTGAATGGGTTATTTTTTTTTTGGTTAAAGTGACACGTGTCACAAATTAATTGGTTAAAAAAAAAAAACAAAATAAAAACGAAAAAAAAAAACCACCCAGCCCAACCACCTTCCACGGCCACGCAGCCCCACCAGCCCAACCCCTTGCCTGGCCCCAGCCGGAACGTCGTGCCAACCACCCTCCCCCTCCCCCTCCCCCTGAACCGTCGACTCCCCTCCCCCTGAACCGCCGACTCCCCTCCCCCTCACCCTGAAACCACCAACCACCCCCGAAACCTCTATGCAACCGCCAATAAAACCCCTCCCCCTTTTCGAAAACTTCTAACCACCACTCCAGTTACCCTGAAACCCTAGCGGCGAGGGTTTTCGACGGTGAGGAAGTGGCTTTTGGGGGTTTTCGGGAGTGGGGGAGGGGTTTCGAGGGTGTTTCGAATGGTTGGAGAGGTTTAAACGGAGTTTTGATTGTGGTTGGCGGAAAATCGAATCGAAAAAGGAGGGGATTGGGGGTGGAGGTGGGTCGCAGCACCGACACAGGGGGATTGGGGGGAAAGCGGCGCAACATTGGGGCAGGAGAAGGGAGGGGTCGGTGCGGACGGCTGGCGGCAGGTGGTGGTGGTGGTGGAGGTTACGTGGGTCAGGTAGGGGTTACGGTGGGGAGTACGAGTAATTCTGGGTTTTTGTTTTTTTTTTTTTTTTAATTTTCAGACCAATCCAAAGGAATTTTTTTCTTTTTTTTTTAAAAAAATTTGGTTCAGTAAAAAAAAAAAAAAAATTGGACCACTCACGTGGCGACACGTGTCCAGCAACCTAAAATAGAAGGTTGTTGACTTTCGTTGACCGGTTTGGGTATGAAGAATGATAACCCACCTTAAAGTTGGGATTATTGAGGAATAATCTAAAGTTGGGATTAATAAAAATAAATTGGTGAAAGTTGGGATTAAAAAACAGTATTAATCCATAAAATAATGAGTATGCTTTCATTAACTACCTATGGTACACATGTTTATAGATGGTTCATTCAACACAACCTTTTTTTCTATACTGAAAATTAACCTAAGTAATCTAGAAGCACAACTTCTCCGAGATTGGTGAACAAAACTTCTCAAACTGATTCTATTTGTGTATTAATTATTACTTACCTAACATTGTTGCTTTATAGGGCGGTGAATAATAAGGACCAAATTCGAATCCTTCAAAATTCATTCGCAATTGAAATAGCATAAAGTTCTCAGAAACCTGAATTAATGATTCCAATTTCACAATTATCTGAGCAAGAGGTAAATTACATAGTATGTTCCGCTATACAAATTAAAGTGAACAACATATTGTTTTGTATAACTATATCATGCATTTGTTTTTGTACAGGTTTGGAAAAACAGTACGAAACGTCGGACACGTCATTGACATTACAAACAAAAACAGTATAGTTTACAATGCTTGCAATGTCTGTAGCAAACGATGTGAAATTGAAAGAGGATCAGTGTTTAACTGTCGTGCTTTTAGCTCCCCACACGTAGGGACGTCCGAACCACGGTAATTGATATACCACTACTATTAACATAGCATACAATCACTCCTTTTCTTTATCCTGTTAAATATCTAAGCATGCTTAATCATAGACATTGTAGAACTATGCTGCATATCACTTTTGCTGACGATAGCGGTGACATACCGATCACACTTTTTGGTCATCTTGCTGAACAACTGATAAATGATGACGCTAATCATATGGCTACGCTCATGCTACAAGTATGTATGCTTTAACTTATTACTATTACCTAACAATTATAGCTTATATTAAACTCAAAACTACAAATTGTTTACAATAATCATTATATGGATAAAAAAATTCATTTTATACACAATTGCAGGAACAACGGTCTCTTGTAGACAGTTGCATTGCAACTTTGAAAGAAAAAGAGCTGACCATAAAGATGAACACATACATGTTGGGAGAAGGATTTCAACAGCTCCGCTGGAAAGCTAAACGCATTATTGGAGCTTAGATGTATAATGATTTTCAGACATGTTTATGAATGTATGTATGTGTATAATTTCATGCTTTTATTATGAACTATATTTCCCTAGAAAATTCAACTTTAAAATGTATAGTAAATAATGTTTATTTGTATAAATATGTACTTATACATGTAGATTTACATAAAATAAATTTTTATTTTAAGTATTTATCATTTTAATGCTTAACTCTATAGCATAGTAAATCCTGTACAATTTATTGGGATACCAACTACATAGGATTAATATGATATATTCAAAGCACATAGGATTAAAATAATAAATTAAAAATGAATACATAAATACACACACACACGTGTAAATTGTACAATTTACACTATAGTACACTTGTACAATATACATAAAACATAATACATGTCTGACATGTGTATTATAAAACTTTTTGGGTTTTAACACGCATATTTGAAAACTCAATACGTAATAAAATAAATCACTACAAGGTCTTTGAAGTATGCCTATAAATAGAAATAGAAACTGAAATTTGCTCTCAAAACAATAACTACTGTAGATTAACTTCATACGTAATAAGTTCTTTTCCTCACATTAAAATACTAAGTCCTTAACCAGCATATAAATGGATGAACCACGGAGAGTTCTAGAAACAAATATCAAAATAATTCTACATGATATACTACTTCAGCTAGGATTACCTTAAGCAGAATTCAGTATATATGCTGTCACCGATGATGAAATAAAAGCTTTTATAGATATAAATGGTGTTCCTAATGTCCCATGTCCTATACAATTTATTGAGACATTAGCCACCCGAATTGGTCCATCACAGCAAAACGCTGCTAGATAAGCACTCAAATTTCTTCAGCAAACTTACAATATAGATGTTGGTGACTATAATTATTATCAATTGAAATTAGAAGAGCACAATCATAAACAACTTTTACAACAAATGTCAACAAATTTTACTAAACTCAAGCTTTAAATTATATTTATACATATATTTGTCTTTAATAACGAATGTATATATATATATATATATATATATATATAATCTCTAGAGTTTATTTTATGTATAATATATTTATGTATGGACTTTTATAATATATATGTATTTAGGTTCATGTATGTATATGTATCTATACAGGTTTTACAACATTTTGTACTGCAATAAGCTTTACTTATGTAATACAATAGTTGTACTGTAAAAATAAAATAATATATTCAGTTTGTACATCTATACTCCTTTTCTCCCAACTCTTTCATATTTTGTAAATATTTGTATAATACTTAAAATTGTCAAACATCAGTTGACAAAAAAACTTAATTAACTATACTTTTATATATACTAACCAAGTTGTTGCCCGCGTGCGTAGCACGCGTCGCCACAACTAGTCCATAAAAGAAGGAAAGCTGCGTAAAAAACTAAACAAAAAGTCAACTAAGCTAAGGAATCTAAAGTTTCAAAAGCTGCCTAAAAAAAGAAAACTAAATTAAACTCCTATCTGTTGAACCACGTCCACGATTAAGGGCATATTTATAGAAATCCCAACCGACTTAACTCTCCTTGCAAAACACTCGCCCGATCGGGCCCGCCAAAAGTCACGTCTGTTATGTAATATGCTTATTTAGTACAAATACTAACCCTAAGAATTTGAGAAATATGAATTTACAATGTAAAATATAATCAATTACACCAACAAACCAAACACCAAAAAGTCTAGAAAGTAAATTACAGAAATACAATCTAAACTACAAGTATGAAGAAAATCACTTGCCTCACTCCAAGCCAATGAAACAACCAAGAACACGAGAATACCATGGATCACGTGAGTCTTTGATACTTGATACTCGTCTAAGGCGTGAGAACACTTTCCTAAAGCGATAATTTCCCCCACAACAGTGCTTGGGTTGAACTAGAAATACGCTTTGAGATAGAATAGACGAACTCTACACTTTAAGCACTTAAATGTATAGAAAGATGATCAAATTCTCAATCAATTAACTTAAATGATAGAGGATTAAGGAAGAGATTGCAAGTTTCTTCAA